TGTAATTCCCTGCAAAATCAAAACGAAAACACAGATCAGTACTTCCAATATACAGTGTTATGGATTATTTTAACTAAGTAAAAATGTGTTATATTTGTTCATGCTGCAGAATATTATTTTAACTTAAAAATGTATTACATTTGTTTATGCTGCATTTGTTTAAAGATGTAAGGATGTGTGTTTAATTATGTAAAGATACATTGCATTTGTTTCACCTTGCCTGCTTAAGGCACCTGATTGGTCTAATAAAGAGCTAAGTGGCCAGTAGCTGGGCAGAGAAAATAGGCAAGTCTGGCAGGCAGAGAGAATAAACAGGAGGAGAAATCTAGGCTCAGAAGAAAAGAAGAACCAGAGAACAAGGAGGAAAGAAAGAAGGGACACATCCAGGGCAAGAAGCCAGGAAGATGACAGACAGACAGACATAGAGAAGCAGTGAAAGTAAGATATATAGTAGTAAGGTAATAAGCCCCGAGGCAAAAGGTAGATAAAGACAAACAGGCTAATTTAAGTTTAAAAAAGAGCTAGCCAGAAATGTGCCTAAGCTAGGCTGAGCATTCAAAACTAGTATAAAAAAAAAAAAAAAAAAAAAAAAAAAAAGCCTCTGTGTCATAATTTGCGAGCTCACTGGTGGCCCAAAAGAAGAAGCCTGGTACAATATATATTAGCATCCCAAAAGGGAGCATAGTACAGAAATACTCAACCAAGAAAAGTAAAAAACCAGGTGGGCAAACTCCAAACTCTTCATCTGCGTGTCTGATATCAAAGTGTTCTTCAGATCTCCAACTCCCTTCTGCTTTTTTGACTTAACACACTTCTTTATCTTGGGCTGGTTTCACTCCCTATTAGCTTTCCGCAGCAGGTATCCCATGGATCTGGCATCTCCAACATACTAGAGTATCCAAGGCAATCTAGGGTCACCTTTACAACTTCACACAAAGGCTTCTCTGGGCCAGGAATACCTCAGACATATGCCTCACCTCAGCAGCTTTCCTTAGTTACAGGGGGAGATTCCATAAACCTTTTCTTCTATCCTTGACTCTAAAGCCAGTACCACATGGCCAAAGCTGCCAGGTTCTGCTGTTTGCTGGAGCTGGAACATGACCCCTTATTCGAATTACATCTTCACCAGCTTTCTGTTTTCAATGGTTTCTTTCACTGCCTACAGTTGGCTGTCCTGGAACTCACTCTGTAGACCAGGCTGGCATCATACTCATAGATCTGCCTGCCTCTAGCTTCCCAGTGCTGGGATTAAATGCCAGCACCACCACATCTAGCTCTAAGCATCTCTTTAATTCCTTTTCACATGGTGGAAGCTTAGATGGGCAGGATCCTGCCCTGAGGTCACCACCTCCCATTGTTCCATTTAACATCAAAATTTTCTTTAACTTGTTTATTTCCTTAAACACAGGACTTAACTCCATTGCACTTTATAGTGCCCCTTCTTAAATTGTGCAATTTGTATTTTTCCCTGCTCAACTTTCTCCTTTTCATTATAAATCTTCATAAAAGTGACTGCTAACAACTATATATGACAGAGTTAATACTAGGCTGTTTTGAGAGTTCATCTGCCAATGCCATTAATCAAAAACTTTTCAATTTAGCCTCAGGCAGACTTTTCAGACAACAGCAAAAAGCAGCCACATTATTTGCCAAAATAATCACAAGAACAGTCTCTAGGTCACACAATAAAATTATTCTTCTCTGAAACCTCTTGAGCCAGGCCCCCACAGTTCAAATCACCCTCAGCACCACTGTCTTCCATGTTCCTACTAGGATGGTCCATTAAGCCCATTTAAAGCATTCAACTGCTTTTCTAATCCAAAATCCCAACACACACATTCCTCCAAACAAAAGCATGGTTGGGTCTATCACAGCAATATCCTAAACTCTGGAACCAACTTCTGTCTTAGAGTTCTATCACTGTGAAGAAACACCATGAACATGGCAACTCTTTTAAAGGAAAATATTTAATCGGGGCTGGCTTGAAGTTCAAAAGTCCATTGTCATCAAAGCAGGAAGCATGGAAGCATGCAGACAGACATGGTGCTAGAGAAGGAGCTGAAAGCTCCACATCTAGATCTGTAAGCAGCAGGAAGTGACTGCCACACTGGTTATGGCTTGAGCATCTGAGAACTCAAACCCTGTCCCCAGTGTCCACTTCTTCCCAAAAGGCCACACTTCCTAATAGCACCACTCCCTATGGGCCTAGAGGGGCCATTTTCTTTCAAACCATCACATTTGCTATCCCACATATACTTCAACTAACTTGAAGCTCAATGAAGAACAAGTTAAGCAGGAACATCAGTTTTTCCGATGTTCAAAATGTAAAAAAAGTAAACAATAATGATTAAAAATCTATAAGTAAATCAGGGTGGTGGTGGCACATGCACTCGGGAGGCAGAGGCTGGGGAGTTCCAGGATAGGCTCCAAAGCTACACAGAAAAACCCTGTCTCAAAACAAAACAAACAAACAAACAAAAACCCAAGTAAGCTCATGAAGAGCCCCCAAGGACACAGAATGATTTAAAAGGCAACACATTTCTAAGACAATTTTCCTAAGCTATGAATTAGCATAGGTATTATTTAGGCTTGGTTTGATGTCAAGCTTTTCAATCTTCTTTAACTACTTTCTTTCCTCATGCACAGTGCTCTGAAAGCTCTCTGTATCAGTGTATCATCACTTTCACCTAGGCATCCCAGTACTGTCTCTGTACAGACTGTGGCCACACTCTAAAATGTGTCTGTCTCTTCTCTTTCTGGTCCACAACATACTTCCTTTACTATTTCTTATTTTTAAGGGAAATACTCAGAGCTTTACAAAAACCTACTAGAGTACCCAATTTATACCTGGGGACAATTTATAGAGTTTTATGAAGTTGATTTTCCATTATAAATTAGGAGGCCAAAAACACTGAAGAATGGGTCTTTAGACTGTCAATACCATTCTCCAGCTCAATCTGTTCTATAAATGGAGACACAGTAGTAGTGGAAAATCCCCTATGTTCATGCTTTTATATCAGATTTGAAACTAAGAGACTGCTTCTAGGTCTATGTGGCCCTGTCTCTAGTCCCTGTCTAGACCTATATAGACCTTGACTCAGATATACTGAATGATTCTCATCTTCAATCAATAATTCTGCCAAACCTAATACAAGGACAGGGGACCCAATGAGACCACCCTCTGTCTCTTGACCAGCTGAAAATTCTCACCTGCTCTCTCAAAACTCTTTTCCTCCCCTTCTCCCCTCTCCTGTGCCCTCAAGACCAACCATCCAGCCAATCTCATAAGGCCATCCTCACTCCATCCAAGGGAATGAGGACAGGAGCAAGTCAGTCAACACCAATCAAGGACACACTGAATGGACACAGCAGCATCAATGCCTGCTTTATATAAAGTAATAGACAAGGTCCAGTTTAAGGACAATTTTAGTGATTTCTCAAGAAATGGATTCTACGATGAATTCCTTCATGTGAGCTTCATGTCTGTCTCCATCTTAACAAGAAGTCATCTCAGTATTTGTTTATTGACACTTCTGATGAAAAGGAGCCGATTCTTCAGAAGGCTACAGTAGCTGGTGGGCTAGCAAACAACATCCTAATCCATGATGTCTAAACACCTGGGGAAAAAATGTCTCCATCACAGACCCCAGTTGGAACCCTGAGGACCCTAGTCATAGAGGTAATCCAGAAACCTCTTAACTTGCCTCGAAACAGAAAAAGAAATGTCTACTTAAGGCTGTCAGCTCTGAAAGAGTCAAAGAAAATAAAAAGAATATTGTGAATTTCTCCAACCACCATTAAGGTCTTCTGAAAATCAACAATACCAAACCAGAATTGATGGAAACATAATCCTTAATAGCTTAGCAGCTATAAACTTTACATAATAAGCTGCCTCAGATATTTATAGAATGTTGCAAAACCCTGAACTAAGGCATCTAATACCATTTTTAAACATAGTATAAGAGGCCAGGACTTCATTTTGAAAAAATAACAGCAGGAGAGGCAAAAAAGGAGAGGGGGCAGATTAGAGGGGGGAAAAAAAAGCAACTATGGCCTGCTTTAATTCAACCATCATCTCACAGTAACCCACAGAATTCCAGGATATATACCCAATGAGAATCTGCCAACTGTATCACAACCAAAGTATATATAGCTGGAAAAGCATTGAAAAGGAACTGTTCTAAGGAGTGAAGAAAGGGTCAGCTAGAAACAATTCACTTAGAGCAAAATTCTGAGCAGTATCTCCATAGAAGGAGAATGCACATATGACCTGCAAAGACCCAAACACTCTCTAGGCTCCACTACAAGGACAGTGTCATATCAGTGAAGCCTCAGCTTCACAGTAACAGGGGATCCAGCAAGCAGGAAAAAAGAACACTTATGGATACAGAAACTGCTTTATTTATCCTTGTGAGCATTTGTCAGTACCAGACGCATATGGGCAGTCCAAGGGAAGATTCACCTTTCTCTTTTGTTGTGGCACAGGTTCCACCACCATTACTCTTCCATTCCTGTCCCTGCTAGGTAGAGATTTCCTTAATACACTGGGTTTCTCTATCTCCCAGCAGAAGAAAGAGGCATGTTTCTACAGAGCCAGAGCACAGTATCACCTAACTGCTTCCTCGATAATTCTGGCACAGAACTTCAGCATGTCCCTGAAAACATAAAAAGAGTCTAATGGATGGCTCCACACTCCTATGCATGTAGGCTGCACAAATTGGACTCAGTGAGTTATTTTGAAAGGAAGGTAAAAGGGTATCTATTAGGCAAGTCTATGAAAGAGAAGGGAACATGAGAGAGAATATAATCAAGATACATTTTATGTGTGTGTTAAATCATCAAAGAATAATTTCCATAGAGAAATATTTAACATCAACCCTCTGGCCTCTACCCCTTCATGCACAAGTACAGCTACCCACATACATCATAAGCACAAAAAATTTTCCCACTTATCAAACAGGGTGGAAAATAAAGTTAAAGAATCAGATGTGAGAACCTACCTGAAGTCTTGCTAGTTGTGCAGTACGGGCTACTATTTTATTATATGGCTCAACAATTTTTGACTTCATCCTAAGGCCAAAAAAAAAAAAAGTGGGGGGAAATAGTGAGAATAAAATCATTTTTAAATATCAATGGGGGACTAGAGAGATGACTCAATGGGAGTCATGTCATTCTGTAAATGTGTTTCTCATATTGGTTAATGAATAAAACACTGTAGGCCAATAGGAAAGCAAGATAGGCAGGACTAGGAGGAAAGAGGAAGTTGGAAGGAGTCAGCATGGAGAGACTAGAGAGAGAAGAACGCCAGCCCCTCTCTCCGGTAAAATGAGACCACATGGAAATACTTAGAGTAATAGAGATGGGTTAATAAGACAGAGCTAGTCGATAAGAAACTAGTAACAGGCCAACAGTGCTATTATCAAATACAGTGTCTCTGTGTGTTATTTGGGGCTGGCGCAGTGGTGGGACCAGACCGGCAGGGAAAAAGTACTCATAAGAATGCTTGCTGTACAGCATGAAAATCTGAGTTCAGACCCCATCACCTATGTAAAAAGTTAGGCATGGCTATATGTGAACCTGTAACCCTATGCAATTATGGGAGGAGACAGGAAGATCACTGGGACTTGCTGGCCACCAGCCTCACTCCAAGTTCAATGAGAGTGTTTCTCTGTCTCAAGGGAGTAAGGTAGAGAGTGATACTAGATAACTACCTTTGACCTCTATGCACATACCTATACACACATATACACCACATGCACACATATATGTCACATTCAAACACAAGCATACACAGATAAGTAAATCTAAAAACACATCTGCTACATATCAATGGCTAGAAATCGCTCCATCTCATATATTTATAAAGTGAACTACAGTACCTATCAACAGCTCCCTGTAAAGCTCCAATTCTTGTCTGCATCATCTGAAGAACACCTAGGAAAGATAACAACCATATAGGCATTACAAAATTTACAAAATTCACACTGGACCAAAAGAACAGAATATAAAATATACATAAATAGCATCATAATGTTTTTCTCCCATCATCCTGATGCAGGCAACCAATATCACTTCTAAGTTCAGTTATAAAAGCCTGCGACTAGCCTCCTATTCCAATACCTGGCCCATTACAGAAGCCTGACAGGAAACTAGGTATGGCTACTTACTGCTGACAGGTTTCCATTTCACATGGTGTAGAAATTTTAAAACTATATAGTGCTGAGGGCTGTACAACACTGAAAACACACTAGGCACTGCTCAATCAGATACGTGAAACTTGTTTAAAAATTAAACTATAATGGAAAAATTAACATTACACATATTTGCTACAATTATGTTTTAAAAATCTGAGTGATAGGGAATTCTCTGCTTAGTATCCTTCCACGCTATCTTCTTCACTCCTATAGTAAAGCAATAGTCAGTCCAGTTTGTGTTCCCGAAGCCAGTCAACACATTCCCTCGTCTTTCCACTGTTTTTCCAGTTGCTCCTGTGTTCAAGTATCTCTCACTTTGGCTTCAATCACCTTCTTTTCACCTGTATCCTTTTAAGGATTTCATTCAATCCCAACTTTTAAATGCTATCTTTTCCATAAAAAATTATTTACTGACACATGTGAATATGGAAAGGGGTGTGTGATTTCTTCTTTACATCTTCCTGTACATGTACAACCCCCAGCCCTAAATTCTGGCCTGTCAAATTTAATATGCTGACGGTGACTTCTGCCCTATCCCAACCCTGCCAAGTCATAATCCTGTGAATTTATCCCATTTCAACAAGTCACATCCAGTTAGCAGACTAAGTCTAAGAAATCACTGTGGTGACTTCTCACTCTGCTTTCAATCCCCTCAAAGAAATCTTTCAGTTCTGCTTCAATTTTACTCCCATCAACTGCTCTCTTTCTCTTCCCCACGCTAGTCCAAGGCACCATCAGCCTCACTACCCTACCAGTGCTGTCATCCTGGAGAGGCAGCAGGAAAAAGCACTTACAACACTCACCTTGTCTTACAGTACTCCGATTATCAAACTCTCTAATGGTTAACATCTACATTCAGAATGAAATCAAAATTCCTTTCCAGCAAATTCATCTGTGACTCTCACCCTTGTTCACCACATTCATTCACAAAAGTCACTCTGGCCTTCCCTATTGCCCTGAAGCACATCAAGGTAAGTCCTGCTCCAACTGACCATTCCCTAAGCTTTCAACAATCTCTCCAGTTCTCCACACACAGCTCTTTCTCATCCTTCAGATGTCAGCTCAAAATGCTACCTTGTTGGAAAGGCCTTCTCTGACTGTTAAAAATAGGAGGGTCTCCCCTTCCTCTACTTGATGGGTTTCTTTGTAGGACTTAAAAATGTCTGATTTTTTATTTGTACATTTTTTATACTTTTGGTTGTAAGCCTAGCCTTTAATGGCTGAGCCATCTCTCCAGCCCTATTTGTAGATTTTTTTTTTTAATTGACCTTACCATCTGAAAGAAACATTGTTTCATAAGGACAGTGGTTTGGTCTATTCCTCAAATACCTGGTATCAAATGTGTTCTCAATTGCTCTTTAATTAACTAAATAAACAGGAAAAATGGGAATAAATTCTCTTTTAAAGTAGGATGAATTAAAAAAAAAAAAAAAAAGGTAGGGTGAATGAATGAATGTACTTCCAAAACTACATTTTTTTTTTCCCAAATACAGGGGGAAAAGATGAAGAAGTTAGGAATAAGGATTAAATTTTCCAAGTATACTACATATTTCATCATCTCAAACTAACATTCTAAAAGTGCTTTGAAATATACACTATGCTAATATACAAATACATATATATGAAGATATATGAATATACAGATAGGGATATAAGGGCTTCACAAAGCCAGGAATTAAACCCAGGGCCTCACACATGTTAGGCAAGCTGTTTAACACTGATTTACAACCCTAATGGTGTTTTAAATGTGTAACCCTTAAAAAGAATTCTGGGAAAGGAATTGGAGAAATGGTTCAGCCTTTAAAGAATAAGACTCAAAACCAGAAGGTCAAAAAGCACCCTAGGGGGAAAAAAAGCACATTGTAAGGATATGCAGATAGAAAACCCTCATTGAGGCCGAGTGTGCTGACCCACTCCTTTAATCCCAGCACTCTGGAGGCAGAGGCAGGTGGATCTCTGTGAGTTTGAGGTAAACCATGTCTACACAGTTAGTTTCAGGCCAGCCAGGGCTAAACTGTGAGACTGCTTCAAAAAAAAAAAAAAAAAAAAAAATAGTAAGAGGAGCTGAGCATGTGGTGTACATATTTAATACTATCACTTGGTAGGCAGAGACAGGCAAATAAATCTCTGAGTTCAAAGCCAGTCTGGTCTACAGAATGGGTTCCAGGCCAGCCAGGGCTACACAAGGAAATCCTGTCTCAGAAAACTAAATAAGAGATTAAAATTTTTTTAAATGAATGAAGACATAATGAGAAGTATTTCTATTATAACGGTAACTCACCTAATCAATGTACTATCATTTCACAAGTGAAAATTATATTATTTGATTTCAAAGTTACCATTAAAATATTACTATTCTAAGAAACTCATAAAAAACTTAAGAGATTAAAAAATAATAAGGGCTATCAATACTTAGAGACTCTTAACTTGTTCAAGAATGTAGCTCAGGTTTTCAAGTTAACAATCAAACTATCAGGTCCCAGAATGCTAAGCCTCCTAATGTGCTTTAGAAACACCAGGGATTCTGAGGTAAGCTCTTATTTTTGACACTATAAGAAATACCGTTAGAAGAAACAAAGAATATGGCATCACAGAAAAACAAAAACCCCTTTTCCTTAAGAATTTACTCAACACAGTAGAAAATAAAATCACTTAACTTTTTTTTGGATGTGATAAATAGTAATCAAAACACAAGGGTCACAATTTCACACAAGCTAGAGTTAGCTGGGAAGAAGAATGTCAGCTGAAAAAAAAAAAAAAAAAAAAAACACTGCCATCAAGATTGCCTATAGGAACTCTGATGGGCATTTTCTTGATTAATGCAAAGCATAGCGTGGGAGAGCTCAGCCCATCATGGGTAGTACCAGGCCTGGGTAGGAGGTCCTGAAGTGGATAAGAAAGCAACTGAATTAGCCATGGAGAACAAGTCGAACAACTAAAACACTGGAATAATTGAACAGTACTTCTCCATGGCCTCTGCTTCAAAACCTGCCTTGAGATGCTGTCCTGACTGTCCTCAGTGATAGAGTATGAAATGAAAGTTGTATATTGAAATAAATCCCTTCTCCCCAAATTACTTTTGGCCATGGTCTTTTATCACAACAATAGAAACTTTGAGACAGAAGTAATAATGAAAAACTTAATAGTAACATTTTATACCTATAAGATGTAATCAAGAAAACAGTGAAAAATTCATAAAAGAATTAGTCAAACATGAGTCGCACAAATAAGAAATCTAATCTGGATTATTCTACTATACTCTCACTGACAAGAATGTCTAAGAAAGGAAAAAATACATAAAATTTCACACCTACTTCCACTACTACTTATTCTAAAACTACAAATTTCTTGTTGTTTTAACTAACTAAGATTTATGGAAATATTCATATATGCAAGCCTGTTTTGAGCATTTTCTTCAATCATTTAATCCTTAAGATAACATCATTTAGGTACACATTTAGTATATATGTTACAAATAGGAAAACTGCAGCAGAACAAAAGTAACTATCTTGCCCAAGAAGTCATCTGAACTTAGCTTATGGGTCATTTAATGAATCAGTTTTTCTCTTACACTGCCACCTTGTCCACTTTCACATTATCTGCTGGTTGCTTTAGATCTTCCTGGTAAACCTTAGTAGCTACAACAGAGCCTGTACAATCAATAAAATGTAAAAGTACCTTCTAGCCAGCCCTCAAACTCAAAAACAACTCATGGTTCCCTAACCTAGCTCCATCTAATAGTAATAAATAATGAAAATGTACCTTCCAAAGATTCAATCCCAGTTGCTTGTGCCAGTAAATCTTCATGTCTTGCAACAACCTGAAAAATCAGCATTAGCTCTGATTAACTATATCACCACAGGGTACACACACACACACACACACACACACACACACACACACACACACACACCATATACGCATGCAAATTATGAGGTATGCTTGAGATGGGTTATAACAGAAACACATAAATCATTTATAGTTCTGTAAAGAGCAAACTGTGCCTTAGTCTATTTGAGGTACTAACCAAGAACTATAACATAGATACTACACAAGAGACTCATCATCATAGTTCTGAAGGCTGAAGTCCAAAATCAAGTGTAAGCAACCAATATCCATTCATCATCAGTGGTACTTCTGTGTCCCGACATGGAGGAAAGATGAACAACTTCCTATGGGGCTCTGCCAATTTAGCAAGGTACTAATCATCTCTCCAAAACCCACCTATCAAAAATAACATTTTGGGGGTTGTCTCAATATACGATAAACTTCAGGGTGAAGGGGCCAAGGTTTAAAAAAAAAAAAAAATGTCCTGCCCTTGACTAGACCCAAGACCTAGACCAAGGAAAAACACCCTGACCATTAATTGACTCCCACAACCAGGGTTGAAATCCCACCAATACCTGAGCTTGCCTCAGAGTCAGGCTGCAGAATCCCTGATATCCCTGAGGATGAAAATCCACCAATCCCTGAGCACAGAATCCCACCAATCCAATGTCCCTGAGCCCAAAATCCTACCAATCCCTGAGCTTGCCCCAAAATCAGTCTACAAAAATCCACTAACCCAAGCCACTCTAGAAATACCACCGCCCACACACACCAAGAAATCCTATATAAGTTCTGTAGCCTGTTCAGTTTGTTGCTGTTTCTCACCCAAAGCAGCCACCCTCCTAGATTCTTCCTTTCCAATAAATCTCTTGAGTGAGGTTTGTTGTGTGGTGTGACATTTTCACCAGAGTGGAACATAACAGTAACAACTTTTTTCTAGAGCAGAGCAGAGCCATAGCACTTGCCCTGAGGAAACTTTCCCCTAGTAGAGTTGTTATACTCCAGGACCTGAGCAGAGCTGTAAGACTCACCTGAGCAGAACAGAGCAGTAACAATTTTGCTGGCAAAACTTCCCTTAGCAGAGAAAAGTTGAACACTCTTCAGGAACAGGGCTGTAACAACTTCAATGGGAAAATCCTCCCCTGCCAGAGCAGAGCATTCCCTTGGGCAGAGCTCTTAGCTGCTCCTCTTACAGTGACTTTGAGGTATTCCCTGGTTCCTGACTACCAGGATACCTTTCCATCCAAGCTGCAATACTTTTATGAACATATGAACATGTAGAGTTGCAGCTTATTTGAAAAAGTATGTGTCTACTATGCATGAGGCCCTGAATTCAATTCTCAGCAGTTAAAATGAAAATTCAACATATGAATCTTGAGGAAATGCAAACTTAGGCCAAGGCAAGCTCCCTACTTCCCTATTTCCTATATAAGTAGAACTGTGCAAATAATGATAAAATCCCTGTTGATGTGTTTTTCTTGTGCTTAGCCTCCATAGAATTCTTTCAAAATCAAGTTTTTCTTTATTCTTGGAATTCATTTAGTATCATCAATGGCACATCCTGAAAACTAAACCACTCAGTACTTATCCAGCCCTGTGTAAATCCGAAGTGGCCAGGCCCTAATTCTAAGGACTTGCCAGGTTTTACCTACAGAACACTCTAAGGGTCATAACAGCCTGATTCAGCCCCTTGCTGAGCCCTACTCTGCCCTACAGCCAAGCTCTGCCCTACAGAGTAAAAAGCACAAACTCAGAACTTGAAAACCCACCAATCCCTGAGCTTAAAAATCTACCAACCCCATCCATGGAAATCTCCACCCTGGAAAACTCCATATGTAAGAAACCCAATATAACCCTGCCACCTGCTCAGTTTTTAGCTGCTTTCCTCTCAAGCAAAGGCAGCCAACCTCCTGTGTTTTTTTTTGTTTTTTTTTTTTTTTTTCAAATAAATCTCTCCTGTGCGGTTTGTTGTATACTAAGACTTTGTGTTATTCCTTGGTCAGGATACCTTTCCCCTCAGAGCTGCAACAAAAAAAAAAACTTTTCTCTACGAATGATCAAATGATTGATATTTTTGTGGAAATTGGGGCAGTGTTGATGGCTATAACCAAAATGGGGAAGAGCGGATAAGTTAAACAGCACATGTAAAAAATTCCTTGGTACATTAGAAATCATGCAATGGGACTGAAGAGATGGCTCAGTGGATAAGAGCATTGTTTGCTCTTATAGAAGACCCATATTCAATTCCCAACACCCATACAGAGGCTAATAATTGTTCATAGCTCCAGTTCCAGGGAAGCCAAGATCTTATCTGGCCTCCAGATGCCAGGCACACACATGGTATATGTAAATACATGTAAGCAAAACATGCATACACATAAGATAAATGTAAATAAAATAAAAAAGAAAGCATGTAAATACTAGTAATATTCTGGAAATTCTGAATTTTCCACACTTTCTCAGTATAACAAAGTTCTCCATCTAGCCTGTGTACTAAAGTTCCTTATCAGCAAAGCATCATTCATGGGTGCCTTCACTTTGGCCTCTTCTGGAAATCACTGTCATTCTATTGACTCCTTTATCCTTCATTTTGCACTATTTTAAATATAAAATTTGTTCTATCAATTCTTTTCCTATCATTACTACTTCATATAAGTGTTACCTTTATTTTGTCTTTTATCAATAAAGTTGCATGGTGGTTTCAATGGGAATGGACTCTATAGGCTCATATATTTGAATGTTGGTTCCCAGTTGGTAGAACTATTTGGGAAGGATTAGGAGGTGTGTCCTGTTGGAGGAAGTGTGTCACTAGGGGTGGGCTTTGAAGTTTCCAAAGCCCACACAGTTCCCAGGTAGCTTTCTGCCTGTCACTTGTGGAGCAGATGTGAGCTTTCATCTACTGCTCCAGCACCATGCTCTCTGCCATGATAGTCATGGACTCTAAGCCTCTGGAACCATGAGCCTCCAAATTAAATACCTTCTATTATAAATCACCTTGGTCATGGCAATAAAAAAAAAAATAAGATGGGCTGCCATCAGATGACTGAATTTTATCCAGATTATTGATATTGATGTAGTCATCAATATATCTATCTTAACAAGAATAATTTTCTTTTTTCCTTTACCTCTCATGACACTTTGAAAAGGTTGAAAACTAAAAATTACTCTTTCACACACTCCCACTGCTGCCAATCAGGTGCCTTTCCAACACAAGTAAAAGACAAAAGAAAGGAGAAAATGTAAGCCCCTTGAGATGCAGAATGTTCCCGCCCCTCCCATGAGGACCTCCAACCACCATGTTCCAACCACAGAACACTCTAAATGCCCTAACAGCTTCTGAAAAAAACAATGTAGTAGGTTCAGCTCTCATCCTAGAATGAAGAGACTGTGATCTCACATATCTAGATAGACAGACAGACAGACAGATAAAAGTTATCCTCCTAAGGAGTATTAATTTCAAATTCTCATGAATTCCTACTAAAGAAATACTAGATGAAAGAAGAAAAATACCAAATGTAAAAGTGAAACAAGGGGCTGAAGAAAAGGCTCAGCAGTAAAGAGCACAGACTGCTCTTCCACAGGTCCTGAATTCAATTCCCAGCAACTCATGTAATGACCCTCTTCTGAGACAAAATTTCTCAGATAGTTTAAGGACAGTCTCCTCTTCTCTGTAAAAACACCTTCTGTACTCTATATAAAGGAGGCTTCACTTGACAGTTACTTCTGTCTGTATCTGGAGAACCAAGGAATGTGCTCTCATTCCTCTACTCCACAGCCTTACACAAAGTCTGACATTAAGTGTCTTCTAAATATTTGTATATTTAGAAATATAATCAGAATTTTAAAGTTGAAGCAATCTTGTAAGTCATCACAATCTTTCTAAGCTATTCTTTTCATTAACAAAGAAACTCAGATACAAAAAGTTAGATGATATTATGTCTCGTGGTATGACAGATCTAAGTTTCCTGGTAAACAGTCCATTTATTTACAAACGTATTTATTCATCTAAGTACTTCTTCAATAACTACTCAGACAAAAAAAACCAAAAAACAAAAAAAAAGAAAAGTAAGTATTTTGGGAAATGGGGATATAGCTTAGTTGGTAAGGTGCTTGTCTGGCAGTGCAAGTCCCTGTGTTCAATACCTAGTGCTATGAGACAAACAAACAAAAAAGAAGCAGATCATAGAGCAACCCTATGACAGTTGTCAATTATAGAAGAAATCTTTAAGTTTATCTACAGCAATATCTTCTTAGTTAGTAAAGGACATAATTTTTTTTAAAGACTCAAAGAAATAAAGTATTAAGAAAGTCAATTGTAACTCCACACCTAAATTTGGTACCTATCTCCTAATGTTTATATGTGCTCTACCTATCACAACATTTACTGAGTTTCTATAATTTCAACAAATGTTATACTTTGTACTTAACAAAGTAGAAATACTTCCTGTGTGACATCCCAATTTTATTCAAATTGTTCTCCTTCCAAAACTTCATTCCATTTTGTTATCATTATCAAAGGTGTCCTTTTTTTTTTTTTTGCCCAAAATTGTGAAATAATAATAACAACAATAATAATAATTCTTCAGATAATAAACAGAAAGAGCAAATGATTCCAGAGAGTTGGATCAATTTGTTTTCAACTAATAAGAAGTAATTTGCAGAAACCACCACAAAAATGTATTTGAGGCTGGTAAGTTAAGCATCTTTATAGAAATACACAATTAGTTTCAACAATGATGAGATGACAAAGGGGATAAACTGTCACTTTCTGATAATAATCTCTATGACCCAGAAGAATGAGGTTACCTGTAGGTGTAGTTCTTTATCCAACTGACTGATCCCTTGGGCAAGTTTTGCTAGTTGCTCAGCAATTACAGCTTGATGAATAGACTGAGAAGTATAAACTTTCACATCAAAATCTTCATTTAAAAAGTCACCATAACAGTCTATGAAATAAAAAAAAAAAAAAAAGGAAAACTTATCAGCTCTGTAGTATACCAGTTATCAAGCAACAGGTCAATTATAATCATAATTAGCATGTTTTAAGACCTTCTATGCACTAGGGACTGTTGTAGATGCTACCTAGAACAACGAAAAGGAATTGAAGGCAGCTGCAGAAGAATACAATGTTCCAGGTGCTGATCTAAATCCAAGTACTGACTCATTCAGTCTCCACACAGTCCTGATGTGTGGGAAAATATCATTCCCCACTTCACAGGTGCAGATAATTCATGCAACTTGTCCAATGTTACTATCTTAGATTCCAATATAGAAAATATAGGTGCTGAATCCTGGGGTCTTAACCACTCCACTGTTTCTTTTTTTGTTGTTTTTTTCTTTTGAGTTTTTCATTAAAGGGTTTATAGACTTCATAAAGTACATATATTTTAAAAAATATATCCTGATTCCTCTTTCCAATCTACTTGAACGCAATTTTTATATCTATTTTATCTTTAAGTCTTTTTTTTTAGATGTATTTATTATGTATACAGTGTGCTGCCTGTATGTATGCCTGCAGGTCAGAAAAGGGGACCACATCTCACTACATATGGTTGTGAGCCACTATGTGGTTTCTGGGAATCGAACTCAGAACCTCTAGAAAAGCAGCCAGTGTTCTTAACCACTGAGCTACTTCTCCAGCACCTATATTTAAGTCTTAAATTTTAAGACTACCTGTTAGTTTGCAGTTACCTATTTCTATTCAAATTTAGATTCAATTTTTATTTCTATTCAAATTTAGATTCAATTTTTATAACAGTATGCACTGATCACTGATCTAGACATATCTGAAGCAATAAGTATTATCAATAGTCATTTTCCTTAAGCATTGTTCCTAGCAACAATCTCACTTTCTTTCTTAGAATAAAGGTTAAAGTTGATAGCTGTGATTTTCATCTTTTTTTTTTTTCAGTGTTTTCCTTCCTTGTGGTTCACCTGTATTTTATTAGTCTATATTCACTGCCATACATGATCCACCAAGTGAAGCTATTTGTTCTGTTCACTACCACATCTCTAGGCCCTGAACACAGCCAGACAATGGCAGATACTCAATATAGGTCAGATGAATTAATAAATATGTCATCTGAAAGTATCACTGTGCTTAGAGCAAAACAGTCTTAACTATTCTCATAATCTAATTACTCTCAATCTGAAGTAATAGAATAAGAAGACTTTGACCCTAATTCTGAAAATTACATTTTCTCCCAATTTGACAAGCTTACCAGACAAATGTAGCAGTCATTCCACACAGAAAGTTTACCACCAGCAAATGTCAAAATGGCATGTTTTGACAAGGGTAATGGTTCATTTACTAATTAGATGACAGACCTATGTCTTAAGCAGAAAATATAAAGGAAAAACAAAGTTTCAAAGAAGGGCTGGAGGGCAGTCTTGTTTGTTTGTTTGTTTGTTTTTGTTTTTTTTTTTTGAGACAGCATGTTTCTCTTGTGGTTTTGAAGGCTGTTCTATAACTAATTCTTGTAGAACGGGCTGGTCTCGAACTCACAGAGATCCTCCTGCCCCTGCCTCCCAAGTGCTGGGATTAAAGGCATGCACCACAACCACCTGGCGTGGAGTTCAGTTTGATAAAATGCCTGTAAAATATACAAAATATTCAACTTATATGCTACTGGTGGTTCTAAAGCCAAGGAAGAACATTACCAGTTTTGTACTCTATAACAGAGAATTACTAAAATAGGATTTGCTATGCAGCAACATACTTGAGTTAGTATCTGCTAGCTTTCAGCAACTAACTGTAATATGTTCAGGAGTTCTTTGAGCCAGATGATATTATATGTAAGTGCCTTTAACCAGCTTGGGATAAGGGTATTTACAGCAAGAACTACACAAACACAAACCAGGCCTTTTTTTACTTTCTGAGAAAGCTGGATGACTGATATATCTTCCCATTAAGCAGAATCAGAGGCTCGGAAAAGCACAGCACTGTGTTAACAGCCCAAGTGAAATAAACAAGATCCAAATAAGAGAGTGTTACCTAAGAATCAAGTAAGCAGGGTGGTAATGGCACCTGCCTTTACTCACAGCACTCAGGTGGCAGAGTTAGGCAGATCTCTGTGAGTTCCAGGCCAGCCTGATCTACAGAGCGAGTTCCAGGACAGGCTCCAAAGCTGTCTCAAAACCACCACCCCCAAAAAAGAATGTTAAGCATGTGTCATATTTGGCAAATATTTGAACATGATAATGGGTAAGACTTGACAAATTCAAATGGTGATTAGGCAGAATAAATCAAAGATATTTCCAAAGTGTCTTTGTTTATTAGTAGAATATTCTTTATCTGATATAAGGAACTCAATTCTGCATTAAGCTGGAGATCCTAGGCATTAAATAAAAAAGATGACAAAATGCCTCAAGAGCCTCACTACCTAAGAAACTATCAACATTCAGTTAACAAACTATTAATAGTAAATCGTAACAGTGACAATCAGAAAAAAAAAAAAACCAAGAATAGGAAAATTTTGCTTTGATTAATGTTTTCATAGAATACATACTATTTGTTCGAATGTTGTTTATTATCAAGACAGGAATCCGAGTAGGCAGCTAAAAATACAGTTCTGTGATTTAGAAGTAAGGATAACTTGTCTTACTTTGCTTTTCTGTTGTGATAAAACAGTGATCCTTGTAAAAAGGAAGGGTTTATTTTAGCTTACTGGTAATAAATAGTTCATCATCAAGAAAAGCAGAGATAGGAACTCAACGCAAGAACCTCAAGGCAGGAACTAAAGCAGAAACAATAAAAGAGCATTGATTAATAGCTTGCTCCTCCAGGCTTTATCAGCTACCTTTCTTATTTAATGCTCACCTGTCTAGGGATGGCACCACCCAGAGTGAGCTGGACACTCCTGCATCAACTAGCAATTAAGAAAATGCATCAGTCTAGCTGGGAAGCCAGCATGGGACTGACTCAGGCCCCCCTGAATATGGGTCTCAGCCAGAATGACTGAGTAGTCTAAGAGACCTCAGACAGTGGAGCCAGGATGTATCCCTGGTGCACAAAAGGACTTTGTGAACATATCCCCCTTGGAGGGATAACTGCCTTAATCTAGAGACAGGAGAGAAGCCCTAGTCCCTACTTCACAGGACCTGTCATATCTACATGACCCCAACTGGATGGCATTCCCCTACATATGGAATTGGGGTGGGGGATGGGAGGGGAGGGTATTTAGAGTACATGTGAGAGGGCAGAGAGGGTAAAAGGGAGGGAAGGAGGGAGGGAGGGATGGGGGGAGGGAGGGAGGGAGGAAGAGGGAACTGGGATCGACATGTAAAATAATAAATTAAATTAAAAAAAAATGCTTTGACTCCAAAATTTAAGTTGAAGGACAAGTTACTGGGGAAAAGGATTTCTATTTTTGTTTCCACAGAAAATGAAAAGATGTGGATTCCTTCCAGACTAATGTGGTTTGATCATGCCAGACTGCCTGAAACATAGTACAAGGTGATCCTACATTCAAAACAGCTGGACAAATCAGCCCTACAGACTACAGCCAGGATATCTGAATTTTCTTCGAATCCCCCATGACAGCGCCCCTTACCAGCAGGAAGTAGTTTGGGAAGAACGACGCCCAAATTCCCAAATATTGTGTATAAATGTTTGTTTTCATTTAATTGGACTTTGTTATATAAAATTAAATTTAAAAAAAAAGAGAAAAAAAAAGAAAGAAAGAAAATGCATCCGTCTGTGGCCTTGTTGGAGTCTGAGGGCCATGCTGCAGCCAAGGCATACAGATCTGGGTGGCCTGTACTGTTATGCAATGTGATGATGTCCAGGCCAGAGCTGTAGCTGAGGGTCATGTCTGGGTCTGTGGCCCCACTGTGACCAGGATCTATACTGATGTCCGAGGTTCCTGTTGCCATCCAAGGCCATGCGGATGACTCAAGTCTGGGTCCATGTTAGTGTTTGAGGGTCACGATGCCACTGGGGACAACGCCCATCTAAGTGGCCTTCAGTACCACATGGGACAACAGTAACATCTAGATCTGGTTATTGCTAAGACTAAGTCTGGGTCCATGGTCCATCCAGTTGCAGATGGAGTCTGTGTTGATGTCTGTGGCCTGTGCCACCACAGGCCATAAGAACCACGTATGATGAAATGAGGGGGCCATGCTAAGTCAGTACCTCTTTAGACACTACCAAAAGAAGCTACCACCCCCCCACCTCCTCTACCCCTGGCCCTACACTTGGGAGAGCCAACCCCACCAACCCCTCACCACAGGTGAGGGAGAACATAGATGATGGACATAGAGGAGCAGACTGCCCCTCACCTGAGGCGGGTGGCCCCAGTGGCCTAGACTGACCAGCTTGGCTATCACCCAGGCCCACAGCCCCGCCTTGGGTTGGCCCACCCTAACATCCACCCCGTCTAGGACTTCTTGGAGCCTGTGAAAGGGCAGGAGGTGTGGAGCAATACCCACAGTTTTCAAAGGGTATCCCAAAGGAGTTTCAGTGAGGATCCAGTGATGACTGTGTAGCAGAAACCAGAGGCCTTGCACCAGACCAGTGATGAATTGCAATGAACACTTGCTAGTAAAGCTGATTGGACCAATGAAGAGGTGTCAGAGGCTGGAAAGATGGAGAAGCAAAGAGGGTTTTTTTTGTTTTGTTTTGTTTTGTTTCTGGTTGTATTTGTTTGCTTGCTTTGTTTGGTTTTGATTTTTTTCTTTAATTTTCATGGGTAGAGTGATTGAAGGGAGGATATGGGGGAACTACAAGGTGAGCAGTGTGATTCTCAAAGAATCAATAAATAAGTTACGTTTAGAAAAAAAAGAAATGTCCCATAGGTAGACATGCCCATAGACCTATCAAATGGAGGCAATTCCTCAATTGAGGTTCTCACTTCCCAGCTTACTCTAATTCCTGTAAGATTGACCAAAACAGAGATTAGATTTAGAAACAAATTTTAGAATGAAAAAGAAAAAATAAACAGAAACAGACAATATAGGGTTTAGAACCCAGGAAGACACCAAAACCTGAGTTGTATGAAGAAAATACTAAAGAGTGCTTGGGGGCAAGGGCCCAGAAAGAATGACTATATAAAAAGAAACAGTTTAAAGGAAGTTTTCTAGAGGCAAAGACAAGTGAATCTCTGTGAGTTTCAAAGCTCTTGGGCAGCAAGGACTGTTATATCAGGAAACCCTATCTTGAAAAATTAAAAAAAAAAAAAAAAGACACACATGGCTATTATATTATTTGATGATTGGTACTCTGGAATAAATCACATAATTTTTCTCTTTTATGATCTTCTTATCAGAGGCAAATCAGAAACTGGCCACAAATTTTCCAATTATGCATCTGTTCACCAAGCTTATTAATCCTCTCCTCATGCATATCCTCAACACAGAGAACACAATGAGTCAGTTACTGAACAAAATGCTCAATCTTTCAGGTATATTTGGGGAAACTAGAGAAGAGCACCTACAGATTTAGGAGAAAAAAAAAAAAGCCTATACCATATTCGGAGAGTTATTTCAAGAAAGGAGCCAATCCTTTACAAACTTAAATGGGATAAGAATCAAAACTTATGATTTATCTCCCAGGAACCACTGAGGATCTTAGCAACATGGAAGAGTTTGGGCTCTACACAGGAAAAACTCCAGAACACAAAGGGAGGGCTGCCTGTAAGAGAAAACAGAGACTTTACACTGCTGTATTTGAAACTGAAGGAAAAAGGCAATTACAAAATAAGGTTCACATCTGACAAATTCTGGGGGTTTGAAAGCAGAAATTTTAAAGAGTAAATATAGATTTAAATAATCACTCTCGAGAATGGCAAAGACAAAGAGAATTTTTGTAGGTAGGAAAATATAGGATGCATATTAACTATTTACTATCCAAAACCTAATTACAATTCCTGCAATGTGCCCTGGCGAAACAAACACTCATTGTTTAGAATGTGTTATCAAGGGATATAAACTGGAGTACTTTCAGTTCAAAACTAACACCTGGGAAAGCATTACTTACACTCCCTAACCAAACTCTCACCCATTGCTATCATCCTCTGTATTGCCGTTTGGATGTGTACACCATCGTACTGTACTCTTCCAACACTATTACAAGACCTACCTTTATTAGCTCTACATGGTAAAGTATTTTAGAGTGGAAACTTTATACTAAGCTTAGTACGATTTGAATTTCAATTAAGACACAAAGATAAGGTGGCACAGACAGAAACTCTGAAGGATCCACACCCTAATTCAGAAAACATCACTAATTTTGACAAAATATATATCTCAAAAAGATAACTAGGCAATATAAAATTTACAACAGTCGGAGGAAACCCAGTAATTTAAATTTTTATTTGATCCTTTATAAGCCACGCTTAGAGTGTTCAATTAAAAGAAGTTCTGAACCTACTGTATGCAGCTCTGTGGGATATAAAAAGAGGTTTTTCGGCAGCCTGCACCTTTGATACCTTGCACTAGGAAGGCAGTGGCAGGCATATTTCTATGAGTTCAAGGCCAGACTGAACTACATATCGAGTTCCAGGACAGCAGGGCTAGGTGGAAAGACCCAGTCTCAAAAGAAGGGGGGAGGGGTTCCCCAACACCTAGGAAGCAATTAAAGTGATTAACACAAATGCTTTTAATACATGATAGAATGGGGGAAGGTGGATTTTGTTCTACCTCTCAGATTGAGCATTAATACAACTGAATTTTTCAACAGTAGAAAGTTACAGAAAGTTATACAGCTAACTTACTTGGGGCAATTTCTCTCCAACCGATAATCTGACTTCAGTATTCGACTAGCGTGGATAATGCACTTAAGAGGCACCAAAACTTTAAAGCAGGTGTTTTTAATTCCCCTTTTCACGCTACACACCTTTTCTTTAATGAGGTTTGTCACCTAGGGTGGTGGGTTTACACTTCTTAGCGAAGACACTACACTCTGGTCAAGAGCTGGACAGCAGTAGGGGCTTGTCAGCCCGGACCATGTCGTGCAGAGTCCTGGAACTTGAGAGAAGCTCTGGGCGTGTCAGGACCGAGTTCAAGCAATGAAAGCCAGGTGACCCCCCAGACACCCACGGGAAGAACGGAGCACATCCCTGGGGAAACGCGCCGACCAGGACAAACCCTGACGCCAGTGGGCCGGGCGGAGGGGAGTGGCCACGTCCAGACCGGAAAACTTTGTGCAAAGCGAATGGTGGGGTCCTCAGCCTCCGCGTAATGCAGACAGACTCAGGCCCGGCCCCGGTCCGAAGCCTTACCGTCCTGCAGGAGCTCCCGCACAGTCGCCGCCACTGCTGCAGAACCTGGAGCCCCACGGCCAGCCACGGGAACGGCGCTCTCTCCACCTTCCATGTTGGCAAGTGCCGGGTTGATGACGTCTGCGACAGACCCGCCCCCGAATGACGTAGATTCAAGGCGCCTCCCGCCTGGCCATCCCGGACCGAGTTTGTGGGTCCCAGGAGCTGCAGTCCCAGCACGCTTGGAAAGATAGGCTACCTCACGGCCCTTCTCCGATTCCGCATGAGACGTGGTAACCGCGCCTACCTCCAACGCAAGTACGGGCCTGAAACGCGGGCCTCCGGCGTTGGGAAGAAGGCTCCTGGGTGCTTCACGGCCCTCCTCGCCCAGCACGTGGGAGCTGCCGCCTGCCCAGCCTTCCCTGTCCGACGCCTTGAGTGCCAAGCCCGGATAGTAGGAGGGATATGCTGGAGAAGAATAATTGCTAAGCGCTGCTTTAAGTACCTTAGAAATCCAAACGTTTAATTATTCGTTACTACTTAGGTGAGCGGGTCGCGAACTACACTGCATTTTGCATTCCCTTAACATCGCCTCAGATGTGTTTGACCTTAATTGTGATACCAATAGGATTGATCGGTTGCCAGAGGCAGCGTGCACAGATTCACATTAGATTTCAGTACTCATACAAAACTAGTAATAATCATCAACGCCGAATAGCATTATCTGAATTACATGATATTGTTCTTTCCTTAACTTTGTTGTTTCTTACACTAAAGGGTTTTAGTTAGTGCATATTAACATGCAATAAAGTTTTAAACCTCCACTGTGTATACCAGCATGGATTTACAAACACACCTAAAATAAACTCAAGGTGTAGAAGCATACTTGTGCACAATATAGTGCCTGGTGACATCTAGTTTAAGCAGAATTATTCTGGTACTTTCAGGCATGGCTGATTGCTTTGGAGAAATTTAAAACAAAATATTTGTACCTTCATCCTATAAGTCCAGAGAGCCATTTAATTGATCAAAGAGTGGCTTAGGAAGGATCAAAATAAAGTTTTAAATACTGTGTTTCCCTTGACTGATGAATATTTTATATTGCTTAAATTACTTGTTTTTTCGTTATATATATTTTGCTAAAACTAGTAATGTTTTCTGAACTAGGTTGAGAGGGGTTTTGCCATGTACTGTGACAACAAGAATCAGTAAAGATGAAATCATGATTGAGAAAGTCAGTAATGACATCATTGCCACGCACCAACTCATAGTGAAATGTTTAAGACTCTTACCTTGTTTGTAATAAACTTCTCTTAGTGTTTTACTAGAACTCCATATTTATTTCTCTTAGCACTACAGACCATCTCTGGTGCAGCTTATTTACATTCCTTTTCTTCTGTTACTTGAATATTGGTGTTTCCAAAGTTCTCTTGCAAGCTACGACATACTTTGGCCATGTTTTCTTTAGCTTACTGCCAAAGGTTAAAGACTGAATTTTGAATAATTAGCATTTTATAGAGACAGCTTTTATCTGGCAGTAGATTACAGTGCAAAATATATATATATATATATATATATATATATATATACACATATATATATATATATAAAGTAAAAAGCACTGTGAAATCAGAGTTTTAAGTACAACATGAAATGTAAATAATTTTATCGATTGTACTTGGGGTATAAAGGTATTTATGATATACCTAATTGGTGATAGCTGAAATCTTCACTGGTAATAACATTTAAATTCTTTAAAATAATGAAGTCTGCTTCTGGTTCACCAAAATTAGAAATAAAACTGTAAAGATTTTTTATTTTTTTTAATTGTGTGTATGTGTGTCTATATGTGGGTATATGGGTATATGCATGTGAGTACAAGTGCTCTCATGGAATTCAAGTAGCTGTGACCCTTCCAACCTGGGTTCTAGGACCTGAACTCAGGTTCTCAGCAAGAAGAGTACATGCTCTTAACCTTTGAGCCATCTCTCCATCCCCAAAATAACAGGATGTATTTTGCAATACAAATGATCTGTTAATGCCACCTACCTTTCCTGAATGAAATATTTCAGGTTGCTATCATACACAGTACCATATGGGAAGTAATTCAAGTCAGATTCCTTTGATTTATCAAGAAAATAAAATGAAAAGTAATATGAGGTTGGACATGGAGGCACACCAGTGTAATTGCAATACCCCTGTGGCTTAGGCAAGAGAATTGCCAGTTCAAAGCTAACCTGGGCTATATAGCAAAAACCTATCCCAAAAAATAAGCAAAAAAGTAGCAAGCAAAATCATGACATGATATACACAGGGAAAACATAGAGGTTGGGTTTTCCTTATTTCACTAAAACTACCATGTTCAGTGTCCTCATTTATTGATCCTATAAGTAGAGACCGAATTTCCAAGATTCTGAGTCTGCCAACCTCATGAAAAATACTGGTGATTGAAATTGCTACAATAATAGTTTGTTTTTTTGTTTTTGCTTTACTGAGAATTAAACCCAGGGTCTTCCCAATGCTAAGCAAGCATCCAAACCGTACAACAGAGCTATGTGCCTAGCCCAATGATAGGATTTCATGTAGTAAAATACATATTCTCTCTACAAACTGGGTTTTTTTTTTTTTTTCAGATTTAAAACTAGTACACATGAGGAGTGACTCCATACCAATCACAATATGTCAAGAAAGAAAAAAAGACCCACTAGAAATGTTTCAATCTGGGCAGCTGGTAAAAATCTGTGCCCCAATGGTTCGGTATTCAAAGTAAGTATTGTTAAATCATTAATGAGCCAATATTAAATTTTCCTTATATGTACTAGTTTTGGAATACCCCCACCCAAGTATTGTGATAGTCACTCAACTGAAAAGGCTTTCAAACTCTTAGCTTTGGAATCATGATTTGGAATCAAGCCCTGGTGCTAACATTTAACTGGTGTGTTTGTAACCCTAACTAAATAACTGCCCCAAGCATTTCCTCCCGAGAATCTCATGTATCTCTGGCCACCTAAAACTTGCAGTGGTTAAAGGCCTGATCCTTCTACCTTCTTTTCTCAATTACTGGGGTTACAGGTGTATGCCACCGTGACATTCTTAAATAATGCCGGTGTCAAACCCAGGGCCTCATGAATGCTAAGCAAGCAGTATAACAAGTGAGTGACATACTCAGTCTAATATCTATAAAAATGATGGTGTATTATGATACAGTAGATATCAAATGGATATAAATATATATGTGCAAGTTTTTACGTGAATATGCATCTTGGGACCAAAGCACAGTGGTAGAATTGTCAGACCTGGGGTGATTTTATGCTTAGATTTTGTATTTTAAAAACTAAATTTTTCTAGAATGGAGATCACAGTTTCACACTTTAACCAAACACTTGCTTACCATGTAAGTAATTTAGTTTCTCATCCTCACCAACTTTTAATAATGACATATTTTCACCATTTTATAGATCAGTAGAGTTGTGTCATTATGGTATCTAGAGATGTCAAATATCATTATGTGTCTGTTTGCCATCAATATTCTTTCTTTCTCTCTTTCTTTCTGTCTTCCTTTCTATGTAACAGCCCTGGCTGTCCTAGAACTTGCTCTGTAAACCAGGCTGGCCTCAAACTCACAGAGATCCACCTGCCTCTGCTTCCCAAGTGCTGGGATTAAAGGTGTGGGCCACACTGTTGGGTAATCATCAGCATAGTTTTTAAGAAATGTTTCTTCATGTCTTTGCCTGTATTCTGCTTATTGCTTTTTAACTGGTAGGGGTTTTTCGCAGGATTTTTATGGTTGTAAAATACACATAATAGGCATGGTGGCACACACTTAGGAACAACACTCAAGGAAGCTAAGACAGGAGACTTGTTGAGTTTCAGAGCAGCTTGGGCTACATATTGAGACCCTATCTCAACAAAAACAAACAAAACCAATAAATAAAGATAATAGTTAGCTAGTAGTGGTTTTTAATTATACAGGATTACATACAATGGAGTGCCTGATCTTTAAATCTCTGGACCCCTTAAGCAATTATTCTTCATTCTTATACCCCCCCAGCCCCTAGTAACCATTATTTTGCTTCTTTTCTCTGTGAATTTGACTATTCTAAATGCCTAGTGTAGCTGAGACTTGTCTTTTTAAAAACAGTTTAGTTCACTTAGCATTTTAAGAATATTTATTGCAAGATTCATCCATATAAAACCATATGCCAGCCTTTCCTTCCTTGTTTAAGGATAAATAGGTAGTCCATTAGCTGTACATAGTGCATCTGTTTCTCTTTTCATCAGTTGGTAGACATTTGGATTGCTTCCACCTTTTGACAATTTCAGATAATGAGATGTTAGGGCATCTTGGAAGAGTGAAAATCTAGGCTCCTCACCCAATATTTCCTAACAGAGATGAGTCTGTAGCATTTTGTGTTAATTGTTATTTTTTAAGTTTTCAGTCTTTCAAAGCCTCTCTTTTCCTGATCATTTATAAGGCTGAAATCTCACATTGGGCCCTTTATGTCTTCACTCACAGCTAATTCCAGGTGGCCAACTACTTCCGTCCCAAGTCTTGTATATTTAAAGCAAAAAGAAAATTCATGGGACTTGCGAAGGCCACTAGCCTGGTTCCCCTTCCTCTCTCTTTTGTGATTTTCCTATAATTATTTTATAAATAGTTTTGAGGTTTTAGCCTGGGTAAGTGGTACATGCCCTTAGTCCCAAGAGGCAGAGTCAAGCAGATCTCTGTGAGTTCCAGGCCAGCCTGAGCTATGTAGTGAGACTGTCTCGAAACACAAGTACCAAGGATTTTGATCATACATAGCAGGTAAACTGGGTCAAGGTATATTCTCTTTCATCCAATAAAAAGTTTCTCTAATAAATGCTTAATAATTAAAAAATTGGCTAGGCTGTGTTGGTGCATGCCTTTAATCCCAGCACACAGGATACAGAGGCAGCCTGATCTACAGAGTGAGTTCCAGGACAGGGCTATTACACAAAGAAACTCTGTCTCGAAAAAGCAAATAATAATAATAATAAATTGAATTGAACTTGCAGATGCATATGCTTCAAGGGTTTTCTAAATTCATGATTAAAGTTTTATATGTTTCACAGGTTGGCTTTTAGAACACTAGTAAGAAAATACTCTTGTGATGTGTGTTATACACCAATGATAGTTGCTGCTGATTTTGTCAGATCTGTAAAAGCCAGAGACAGTGAATTTACCACAAACCAAGGTATGTAAAACCTGTAGTTTGCTGATTTTGTAGAATGAAAAAAAAGTGTGTGTGTGTGCACATGCAACTATTTTATATAATTAGATGAAATTCAGAGATTATGCTTTATAATCCTTTAGTTTTTAAGTGCCTTTAGTATTTTAAAAATCTCAATATGGAATGTCTTTTACACTGTCAATAATCTATCAGAACATAAAGTCAGCCATTCCTAGGGTCACCTGTCTTGTTGCCTGTAGTCTTTTCTCATTCAGACTATCCTCTGATAGCCCAAGATACAAATTTGTTTAAGATACAAATTTGACCATGTCCCTCTCCAGCCCACAGTCCTTATAATATCCATTGCTTAAAATATGGCTTCAATATGATTCCCAGGCCAGAGGTGACTTCATGATTGGAAACTTGTTGGAAATGAATGTTTCCAGACTCCACTCTAGGCCATTCTGTATTAAAAACTATGTTTTGAAAAGCATGTAAGTACTCTCATCTTGCTGACATTTGAGAATCTCCAGTCTACAGGCTAGAATCTCTCTCTCTCCCTCTCCCTCTCTCTCTCCCTCTCTCTCCCTCTCTCTCTCTCTCTCTCTCATCTCTTCATCTCTTTCTTACATATACACACACACCTGGCAAACTACAGTTCATGGTCCCTAATCCACCATTCAGAGTTTGTAACCAAGGAACCTTCCTTGATCACTGTGCACCCACATTCATAAGCACAGGGTACTTAATCCTACTATTCTCTTTTCTTCTTACAGGCCCCTCTCTCCTACTAAATTATAGGATTCTAAAAGGCATGAGCTATAGAAATAGCTTGACTTTTATATTCAGCTGCTGACTGTATTGAAAATATATTGGATTAATAAGTGGTTGTTAAAGTAGAATTCTGTAGATAAGGAATCAACCAGGGAATGTACCCCACATGCCAATGAAGAATAAAACAATGTTCATTCTCATCATTTCACAGACCAATGAGTTCCTATAGAAATCTGTAGTCAGTGCAAAGAAGGTAATGTCCCGAAATGTGCCTTTTATAAACATCTCTTGAATTTCAAAAAAACGTTTGAAATGTTAAAATTTTAAAAATATGTAAAAAGCATATTATTTAAGACCTAGGAAAGCTGAAACATTTGGCTAGCCTAGATTTTAAACTTCTCCATATAAGTATAGAAATATACTTTAAGATAAACAGAACTAAAAATGTGTGTGTATGTACATATATATGTACATACACACATGTAATAGACAAGTCAAATTTCTCTTTTTTAAGAAAACTTAAAAGTCAACACAGCTAAGTATGATAGAAATGCCTTTAATCTCAGTACTTGAAACACAGAGCCAGGGAGATCTCAAACTCTGGAGTTTGAAGCCAGCCAGGTCTACATAGTGAATTCCAGGCCAGCCAGGACAACAGAATGAGACCCTGTCTTAAATAAGTAAGTAAATAATAAAAGAAACAAGGAACAATTAACAATAGAAAATGTGAACATGCAAATAAAGATACACAAAGATTGTGTGTTCAGTGTGGGTGAATTAAATGGAAATAAAAACCCTTCATATTAAGATGCTTGTACATCTATAAACTCTTAGAAGATAATTTAATAGTATCTATGTTAAATACTTAGGCAGTGTTAAATACTTTCTCAACAGTTACACTTCTAGGTAACTATCTAGGAATAGATTTATAAAATGCATTTACACAACAGTATATAGACCATCCATATAGAAGAATATGTCACTAAATGGAAGAGAATACAGCTGAGTGCATTTTCCAGAGACAAAGGAGAACAGAAGGCATGGCGGTATGTGTAGAATGCTCACATTCACCTCCATGTTATGGGTACATAGAGACTATTGCTCTGGGATCATTTTCATTTTATAAACTGTGCAGTGTTTCATTGACTATTTTTGGCTGTGTGAATGTTTCTTCTATGAAGTTTAATGTTGAACTATCTTTTTTTTTTTTTTAAACAGGTGACTGTCCATTGATTGTTCAGTTTGCTGCTAATGATGCAAGACTTTTATCCGATGCTGCTCAAATAGTCTGCCCCTATGCAAATGGAATAGATATTAACTGTGGTTGCCCTCAGAGGTAAAAGTCACAGAAAGTAGGGGGGAAAAAAACCTTAAGGGAACACAGTAAAATATCTTTGTAGTTTTCCAAAAGTAAGAAGGACAGTTTGAGTTCCTTCCCCATGTGATGGAGGAGAGAACCAACTCCACAGAGTTGTCCTCTGTGGTCCTATGGTCCACAGCTCACACACACACTAAAAATAACTAATTAATTGATGAAATTGTAAGAGGAAGTCTAACAAGTTAAAGCACTGTGGGTCTAAACAAAAATTTAAAAAAGAAAACATTATTTAGAAACATGACATCAGAGGTCTTTTATGATGCCTAAAATTATTTCTAGACTCTTGACTAGTGTTTTTCTTCCTCACCACTAGCTATCATTAGTTTTTTTTTTGTTTGTTTGTTGGTTGGTTGGTTGGTTATGATAAACACTCTGACCAAAAGCAGCTTGGGCAGGGAAGGGTTCCCAAGTCACACTCCAAGACTGCCAGAAGACAAGGAATGTACCTGGAGGCAGACACTGCAGCAGACCATGGAGTAACACTGCTTGCTGACTTGCTTTCTGACTAGTTACTTTCCTATTGCCATAACAAATACCATGACCAAAGCAATTTATAAAAGAAAGCGTTTATTAGGGACTCACAGATTCAGAGGATGAGCAGGAGGCATGGCAGCAGGCAGGAAGGCATAACATTGAAGAGGTAGCTGAGAGCTTCATCCTGAGATACAACCATGAGGCAGGGAGAGCTAATGGGGAATGCCTCAAAGTACACCACCCGTGACACACCTCCTTCAACAAGGCTGCACCTCCTAGTCCTTCCCAAATGTTTCCACCAGCTAGAAAACCAAGCATTCAAATGTACGAACCTATGGGGCCATTCTCATTTAAATCACCATATTCCACTACCTGCCCCTCAGAGGCTTGTATCTATATCATAATGCAAAACTGCACTTAGTCCAACTTCAAATCTCTGAAGTCTCTCACAGTCTCAAACCTGTTCTAAAGTTAAAACTCTCTTCTGAGACTCAAGGCAATATCTTCATTGTAACCTCCTGTAAAGTCATAAAGCAAATTATATACTTCCAAGTTACAATAGCACAGAATATACATTGTTATTTCAAAAGAGAGGAAAGGGAGCAGACTGAAATCCAGCAGGGCAGACTCCAAATTCTGTACTTCTATAACCATTATCAAGGGACTTAGATGTCTGCCTTTCTACCTTTGCTGACTTGCAATGCTCTTCTCTCCTTTGGGCTGGTTCGATTCCATGTATGCTGCTCTCTCTGGTAGACATCCTGTGACATCTCCATCCCAATCCAGACTTCATTTTTACAGCTTCACACGATGGCCTCTCAGGGCCTCCATGTAGGGACTCCGCTGCCATATGCCTGACTTCAGAGACTCTCCTTAACTGCAGAACAAGTCTCCACAATTCCTTTTCTCTCACATTCTTCATGCTTTTGAGGCAAGAACCACATGGCCAAAGCTGCCAAGTCCAGTGGCCTTGGGATGGAATCTGGCCCCCTTGAAGTACATTTGCATACCATTTGGGCTACAGTTGTTTTTTAGGTACAGAAGTTTTCTTAGGCCTTTTCCTTTCAGAAGTTGCAGGACTAGCTGGGCAGACTCTACTACACTAGGATTACTCCCTTTATCCCATCTAATACCTTTGCCCCGCATTAAATTTTCAGGCACCGTTTTTCTCTTTAAAATGTGAATTTTGTCTTCTTCTTGCCCTGCTTGTTCTCTTTCTCTGTGGATCTGCATAAGCATTATTACTAGTGATTATCTTACTAATGACTAATGCCAGAGTGTCAGTACTAGGCTGTCTTGGAATCTCCTCTGCAACCAACATTAATCAAAGACTCTTTAGCCCCAGGCAGATTGTTAGGACAAAGGTGAAAAGCAGCCACATTCTGTGAACCCTCTTGGGCTCTATAATTTGCATTGCTCTCAGTGCTACTATAGTCCAGGCCTTGCTATGATGGTCTGTTAAGCTCCACTCACAGCATTCTTCCACTTTTCCAAAGTCTTCCATATATCAACAAAGAACAGCATGACCAGGTCTTTCATAGCAGAACCCCACTTTTGTTCTGTTTTAGTTACTTTTCTCTTTCTTTGACAAAACACCATGACAAGGGCAATATATAAAAGAGTTTGTAGGGGGCCTATAGTTTTAGTGGCTGACTAATGATGGTCTTGGTGAGGAGCATGACAACAGGCAGAAAAATGTGGTGCTAGGTCAGCAACTGAGAGCTTTCATCTCATGTAGCAGCATAAGGCACCAAGAGGTAACTGGAAATGGAGTAGGCTTTTGAAACCTCAAAGCCCACCTCCAATGACATGCCTCCAACAAGGCCACACCTCCTAATCCTTCCCAAAGAGTTCCACTAACTGGAGACCAAGTATTCAAATATATCATCACGGGGTGGGAGGGTCATTCTCATTCAAACCATCACACTCAACATGTTTTCTTATATAACCCTGGGTACCTAACTCCCCAGGAGTAGCATAGCCCGCAGTAAGCTGGGCCTTTGCACATGGATCATTAAACAAGAAAATGCCCCCACAGAGATGCCCACAGACCAATCTGATGGAGCCAATTCCTTAATTGAGGTCCCCTATTCCCAGATGACATGTTTGTATCAAGCTGATAAAACAGCTTTAACCTCATCCAGAGCTAATTCTTTGAGAATCTTAATGTCTACAGCAATCCCAGAAGTGTGCTTTTACTGCCATGTCAGATACACTAAAAGCTGATTTTGTGTGATTTAAGACATACCATTGGCTTTCTCCTAATTAATTCTTACTGTGGTTATGTTTTCCTTTCTGTATCACAGCTACTTGATTGGACTACCGTAACTAAGTTTGAATGGGATGTACTTAGTAAACTACTGTTCTGGCAATGTGCTAGGTTAGCTGCCAATAGCCAAAATATGCCCAAAGAATAAATCACAGTTTTAAATGTAGCATAAGCCAAATCAGATTAGGAGAATTAGATGCACTGTTTGGTAGTGTAGGAATGCTATGAGCCAAAAATATTTTCTGCTCTTGAGACTGAGAAAACCTCTTGTTATGCACAATAAACATCAAATTTGGAATTTTAAAAATTTGAAGTAATTTCAGCTAATGTGAACACATAATCTGCTTTGGTTGGATAAATTCTAATTTAATACTCTCACTTAGCTAGTGAAAAACCATTTCTAGTACTTTCTGGTCTAGGCAAGTATTTTCCCGATTTCAAGGACCCATTTAGAAATGTTCATCTATGAACTTTATTTAGGGCTACAGTCTAGCCAACTAAGCTAACTAGCCTACTATAGATCCATGAACTGTAAATGTCTGTTTCTTTCCAGATTATCAGATAAAGAAAAGGTTGATACCGTAATTTAGAGTTTTATCTTCTCTTATAATTATTTACAATCTACCTGTTGTGTTTGCTTTATCGAGGTGGGCAATGGCAGAAGGCTATGGAGCTTGCTTAATAAACAAGCCAGAACTGGTTCAAGATATGGTGAAACAAGTAAGAAATCAAGTGGAAAATCCTAGATTTTCAGTTTCAATTAAGATAAGGTAAACACAGTATTTCAATCTACTGACAAGGTCATATATTACTTGGGAAGTTTAAAAATATTCCTTTTATCTAGTGATGTAATAGTGTGTATCCTAAATAAATTAGACACTGATGTGTGGAAATATTGAAAGATGTTTATCTATCAAACAAACATAAACCCCATTCTTAAATTATTAATCCTAATTAAAAGGCCTCACTAACCCCTCAACTTTCACTAGATACTATTTAGCTAATGGTAAGAAATATCACTGGCACCAATTAGAAAACAGAAAAGATACTTGTATTAAGATTTAACAATTAAAAGAAACCAAAATTCTAATTCAAGAGGCTTGCATTCGTGTGTTAGGATAACCTCTTCGTGTTCCTTTGTGGCAGTATGCTGATGACTCTTAATTTCTTGGAGCTAATAAGGAAAAACAGTGAGGAAGGGGAAGATGTTTGTCGCTGTATTATTTCTGTAGTCTTGAATGGGAATGATCACTCAACAAAACCATATTAATAGTGGCATGAAGTGATAATACAATATGGTGAAGCTAAGTAATGTAGCAGATGAAGTGTCTTAGTTATTTTAGCATTAAAGTGTGTGCTAATGAACAGCTGCAATGTTGAAATTATAGGATTCATGATGACCTTACAAGAACCATAGATCTTTGCCAGAAGGCTGAAGCAACAGGAGTGTCCTGGATTACAGTTCATGGAAGAACCATTGAAGAAAGACACCAACCAGTCCACTATGATGCCATTAAAATAATAAAGGAAAGTGTGTCCATACCTGTAGTTGCTAATGGAGATATAAGAAACTTGAGGGAAGCAGAAAATGTGTGGCAGATGTCTGGGACAGATGGTAAGAAATGAATACTGGGATTTTTTTTTTTTTTTATCATTTAATAAGGATGGAAAAGCGAGGATGGGAGAGTGATGTTAATTTTATTTTGTGTAGCACATTGAGCCATATTTTCCTATTGTACTAATTTAAGCTAAGTATTTCTTCATAATGCTTTCAGCTCTTTTCCTTAGAAACAGTAGATCGTTTTAGAAGAGGCAATGGCATCATTTTGCTGCCACCATCGTATCTAGTGACCAGTAAAATCACCTGCAGATGGCCTACTTATTGTTTTGTTTCATTTTATCTTTAAAAAGTATCTAGAATACCAGAATAGAGATGAGAGTTAATGAACTTGATCGACCACAGTTAATTGGCTTGTAGTTTCATTACCCCTTACATAATTAACAAGCAGCCCTATGGTAACTGGATGAAAGCAAATAGATCCAACTTTAAGCAGCCCAATTTATTACAACATGGATGTCTCTTAAAGAAACAGTCAATATAGGTGTCTCTTTTAAATTAGTTGTGTAAATACAATTGGTTTATCAGTGGCACCAGAATCAACTTACTTTTTGCAGTATTTCATTCATTTGTTTTGATAAATACTCTTGCATTGCTTGAACTGATAACCATGGATTCTTGGTTTATGAACAAATATGTTGTGCTTTAATTTGCAGGTGTGATGGTTGCCAGGGGACTTTTAGCAAACCCAGCTATGTTTGCTGGATATGAAGAAACCCCACTGAAATGTATCTGGGACTGGGTTGATATTGCTCTTCAACTTGGAACTCCTTTTATGTGTTTCCATCAACATTTAATGTACATGATGGAAAAGATAACATCCAAGCAGGAAAAAAGAGTATTTAACGCTCTGTCAAGCACATCAGCAGTCCTGGAGTACCTTACAGACAATTATGGTGTTTGACTCGACTTTCTGAATCATTGTAGTATATACTTGATATCTACATGGAACCATATGAGGTTACATCCTGGTATTTCTTTTAAATCTGTAGCTTCTAACTTCAGTACAACAGCAGTCGCTGGGGCCAGACATCATGGCACATGTCTTTAACCCAAGCACTCAGAAAGCTGAAGGAAAAAGATTGGAAATTCTAGGCCAGTAAGACTCTGTCTCAAAGAACAAATGGAAATTTTCCCAGAATTTTAAAAACTTAGCCCTAGGTCTGGAGAGATTGCTCATAGTTAAAAGCATGATCTGCTCTTCCAGAGTACCTAGATCCAATTCCAAGCTCTCAAGTGGCTGGTACTCCAGTTCCAGGTGATCCAGCACCTTCATCAGGCCTCCCCAGGTGCCATCCAGGCATATGGTGCACAGACAAGCATTCAGCTAAAGCACATAACCTTTTACATATAAAATTTAACAAAATAAAATTAGCTCCTATCCCCCTTCCTCATGGATTCCAGTTCAGTAAATCTTGAGTGGCCCCAGAAGTTTAGTTTTAAAAAACCCAGGAGGTTCACACATCCCATAGTCCCAAATCAGATATTGAAAACTTACTCTAAATCTTTATGAAGTGTGTGTGTGTGTGTGTGTGTGTGTGTGTGTGTGTGCACGCGCGCGCACGCGTGTGCACGCACGCGCAATTTTTACTAAAAGCATTCTGTTTTTAACATTTTTAAATAAAACTGTTTTAACATCAAGTTATTACTCATTTGTAAGTTAACAAGTACTTTTTTTTATTTTTTGAAAGTTCAGGAAGTAGTAGAACAAATGTCTTCATCTATAAAAAATGAAAAAAGAACAAGAAATTCTGTGTAGAATTATGTTCAGACTGTACATTAAAATTTTAAATTGGAAAGTCAACTGGTACATTTCCTAATTGAATATATACCTGAAATATTTGCTACAAGCCACAAGATCACACAGTAATTATAAAATTATCTTCTCATGAAAAAAACTCAGAAGAATTAAGGGTTCTTCTGATGGATAAACCAATACAAAAATTGTATTTGGCATTATAATCTTGTAAATGAATTGGCTGTTTTTTGCTGTAGATTCTTCCTATAGCTTATTCCTTTCTGCAACAAACTTGGAATTTACTTCCCACAGTTCAGCACTATCTGATCATTTTCTGGGCACAATTTCTCCCATGCATTTGAAATTTTACTGATTACACTCCCTAGCTATGTATGAAACCTGTTCTCCATTAACAAGTCCTAGTTTACTGATTACATTCCTTAGCTATGTGTGAGACCTGTTTCCCACATTCTGGTCCTTGTTCCCCTCTCCATTGAAATTACAGCAATCTCCTTATTGACAGGCATTTGGCCCTAAACAAGGGCCCAGGCAAAAGCATCCCATCTAACAAAGTCCCAAATATCCAAGGACATAGAATTACTACACGCCCAGCCCAAAGTTGTTGATTCATAGCTGCCTAGAGGGATAGAAAAATAAACATGCCCTAGCTTTGCTTCACTAGCAGATAGATAGAGAATAACCTAAACTAACCCCACACTAAAAGATTCTCAAACTTCTTGTTTTATTACCCAAGATCTTAACTCAGAGATTTACTGCTCCCTCCTGTTTCCCCTGAGAAGATAAAGAGAAAGGTAATCAGCCCATTTGCTCATCATCAGAGAAAGTAACCCTTCTTAAAGGCCTCTGCCTCCACTGAGACCAGAGCACTGGAAGGCACCAGGTTTTGTTTCTTGTGCAAAGTAAACTTAGACCCTCTCTGTGACCTACAGCCCTAAGCAATTGATGCTTAAAGTTTCTCCTTGCAGTTTTAGTTTATTGCTCTGTGTATAAATCTTATCTCCCTTGCTGACCCTGAGAAACTCAAGCCTCACATTGTATTGTAAAAAGAATTACTGTTGCAAATGTGTATATATACCTATACCCCCAAGAAGGATGGGAAGACAGGGATGAGGGACAGAGAAACAGAAAGAAAAGAGAGCAGAAGAATAAAGGAACATGCAGAGGAGCAATTAATTAATTGTGTGTGAGTCAATTCCTTTTTCCCCTCATATTTTAGTTCCTTCGCTTACTTGTAGTTCCTTTTTTTCTTAACCCTGAGCAAAAAATTTAAAAGCAAAGGCCTTCTAAAGATTTCGATAAATATTTAAGTTGTGTCTAAATGAATTTAGTTACATGTGATAACAGCTATGATTTAAAACTAAGGTTAGGGCCAGCAAAAATCCTCAGTGGATAATGGTGCTTGCCTTAGCCAAGCTTGACAACCTGACTTTAGTCCAGGGACCCACATGGTAGAAGAAAACCATTTCCACAAAGTTATCTTCAGACCTCCACACATTCACCCATGCACACAAATAAAAAAAAATGTAAATATATTTGTATATAATGATTAGATGGAGCTCTTCTAGTAACAGCAAATTTAGTTCACTTGAAGTGTTCTAGATAATTGTGTTACTAATGAGCTGGCCAGAGTCCTTTGTTCTGCTCAAATAGAAATGTTGGTGGGTAAGAAGCCTTTCCAGCACTAGCTTTGGTGTTTATACATCCCTCTGCATTTGACAACAAGGTGGTGGGTCTCTCATGTTAGGATTCTTATGCAGGCCTGAAGTATCCACCGTTAGAACTCTGGTTAGTTAAGTCCTACCAGATTCTCCAACCTTTGGCAGCAGCTATTGTTACATCGTTCATCATGATTCTCAAGTCTGGACTATTGGGATTTCCATAGCCTTGGATAATGGCCACTTAACAGCTGTCTGGAACTCAGTCAGCATCCGGGGCCTGCAATTTCAGAATCTGACAGCATTCTGTCCAACCTCATAGGCTCTTTACTGTCTCTTACCTGTTTTCACTATTCTTGTACCTGCTCTAGTGCTTGTGTCCAATTGTTCAGCCACCTCTTGTTACTGTGACTGCCACCAATGGGATAGCAAGTACTACTTCTTATACTGCTGTGTTTCTGTTGCTGGCTTTAGAGTCTGTGTTTCCTGGGGATGTCAACGCGGCTCCCAGGCACGACTTCTGCAACTTATAAGTTCAATCCATTCAACCATTGGTTGAAATTAACAGAAGGCAAGAAGAGCTTGGAAGATAGCTATGTTGGTAAAGAGCTTAGCACAATCAAGAGGTTGATGAGGGGGCTGGAGAGATGAGTTCATCTGTAGTGATATCTGGTGCCCTTTCCTGGCCTGCAATCAGACATGCAGGCAGAACACTGTATATATGTAATAAATAAATAAATCTTTAGCCAAGTGGTGGTGGTACATGCTTTTTACCCCAGCACTTGGGAGGTAGAAGGAGGCAAATCTCTGTGAGATCAAGGCCAGCTTGGTCTACAGAGTTAGTTTCAGGACAGCTAGGGCTGTTACGCAGAGAAACATTGTCTGGGAAAAAAAAAAAAAAAAAAGTTGATGAGGTCCTAAAGTGATCTCCAGCATCCATGTGAAATTGCAGATGTGAAGGCTGGAAGTATGACTCAATAGTGAAGAGCACTTGCTCTTAACAGAGGGCCTGGACTCAGTTCCCAGCACCCACATGGCTTACAAGCATCTGTAACTCCAGTTCTAGAGGATCTGACACCCTCTTTTCTGGGCACCAGGCATTCATGTGGTACATATACATACATGTAAATGCTCACATGTACACATAAATCTTAAAAGTATTCAATTGCATTGGCATACACTTGTAATCCCAGTGCTGGGGAGGCAGAGACAGATCTTCAGAGCTTACTATCTAGCCAGCCTAGCTTAATCTGTGGGCCAATGGGAGACCTCTTCTCAAAATAGATGCCAGGCTACTCTTAAAGAGTAACATGCAAGGTTGTCCTCTGGCTTCCACACAAAACAAAATAACACACATACCATGCTAATATTCTGTAGGAATTCTTTTCAGGGACATCAACTTCACTGAAACTGGGATTCTTGGCTGTGCCACACAAAATAAAATAAAATTTAGGGACTTAGTATGAAGCATAATTGGAGTTTATTATTTTTTGAGTTGGGGTCTCATGTAGTCATGTAGCTGTGCATGACCTTGAACCGCTGACCCTTCTCTTTCCACTTCTTCCTGAGTGACAGGATTATAGGTATGTGTCACACATACAAGAGTAGGAGGTGCTGGAGAAAAAAAGCCACAGTGAACACTCTCCTAGCTGAGCCACATTTCTAACCAAAGATAGAGTTTATCTAGAAGGGATTTTGTTTAATTTTTTTAAGCAATAGCGGTGCAAGCCTGAGGACCTGAGATCAGAACCCAGCACCCAAGTAAATGCCAATGTGATAGTGTGCCCTTGGAGTTGCTGCCTGACAATTAGAGTCAGGAGGACCCTGTGGTCAGCTAGTCTAGACACTTAGTGAAGTTCTGGTTCAGTAAGAAACCCTCTCCAAAAAAAAGAAAGAAAGAAAAAGAAAACGTGGGTAAGTATAAAAAGACATTTGACATCCACCTCTGACATATGCAAAAGGTATTTTAAATATTTTAACATAGTTTTAAGGACAGACATTTATAATAGACACTTGGCAAAAGGACAGTACAAACCAACTTGTAGGCATGGGCTGCTCAAATCAAGTGACAAGTAAGTGTCTTAATAGGCTTATAGATGATTTGGATGCCTTCTGAAATTACTGTTTTTAGCAAATGAGATCAGAATGATTTGAAAGGGCACTGGATGATAAGGTAAAAGGAAAACAAAGGTTGCACAAGAGTTTAGGTCAGGTCTTTTTATCATGAAAAAAAATTGGATGACTCATTGTAAGATTTCTAGAAAAGTGTAGGTATACTGCTAAAAAAGGGAAAAGACCTTATGTGGTCAGATATAGTCAGGCTTTAAGTGTGGTTCATTGCCATTTCATAATCATTTAAATTTTCCTATTATAAGTAATATTGTTTGTGGAGATTTTGTTAACTTGCTGGTCGGTGGTGACACACACCTTTAGTCCCAGCACCTGGGAAGCAGAGACAGGGAGATCTCTGTGAGTTCAAGGCCAGCCTGGTTCTACAAAGCAAGTTCAGGGACAGGCTCCAAAACTACACAGAGAAAACATGTCTCAAAAACAACAACAAAACAAAACAAACTTTTGTTAACTTTGCTGGAATTATAGACTGTCAGTGTTATGAGATTTCCACCAAGCTCCAAAGAACCTCCTTTGCTTTCCCTAACTCATCTTATTTTATTTTATTTTATTTTATTTATTTCTATACTGCCCCACCTTGTGTAACATTCCCAAGTTACAAATACTGAAAAAAAGATCTTTAAGTGAATTCATATATGTTGAAAACATGGAAATGTTCGGTGTTCCCGCTTAGATTATTAGACTTAATGAAAGAATGTCAAAGTTTTTTCCAAAGACAATTTTATTAATTTGAAGTTAAAAAAAAAAAAAAAAAAAAAAAAAAAAAAAAAACAAGCAGGATCGGCAAAGAGATGGAGAAGAGGAGGAAACAAAGTTATGCCTTTTGAGTTAGGATCCAATAGTTAACTATCTTGTTCAGAAACCGAAGCCCACCAGCAGCTGCTGAAGGGGACAGGCATTCAAAGAAAGAGAAAACCCGGGTGTTAGGGAAAGCACACTTAGGCTTTTGGCTATCTACTGAAGAAAGACAATCAAAAGGCAGGTGTTACCTTTTTCTTTATCAGAACACAGAAAAGCAACAAAGCTTAGCACTGCTACACAGCAGAAGGAAGGTCCATAAAGGCGCTCATCTTGGGAAGTACAAATACATTATTTCCACCCGTTTAAAGCCTCCAAATCAGTCAGGTTTCCTGGGAGTGGACTCTCCGCCATAAGAGATAATAGTATGTAATGTAAGTGTCCACCTAAAGCAAGGGTGTTCCATTTTGGCCAGGAGGCCTAAGGAGGGGTAGTTGTTAGCTTTTCCTTTCTCGTGTCACCAGGGAAGCAAGAGGTGGAATGAGGAAGTGCACCCTCAATGTTGTCCAGAACCTATCTAGTTAACTAACAAAATATGGTTAGGTAACGTATGCCCACGCCCATCTTTTCCTAGCAGTCCTCAAAAGGCTCGCTAAGTTGCGGGGTCCCACCAATGGACAAGAGCAGGAAAACAGCACGCAAAACGCGTCCCGATGATACAAACTCTGTTACATTCTCAAGAAAAAAAATGCTGCACAAACCCCTGGGCCTGACCCTTAACTTCGGTTTAACCAGGGGCAGACGCGAGGTTCCACCTTAGAGTGTCTGGCTGCACTTGAACCCAGCCCTGGGCCCCGGCTGCTGTCACAAGGCGTCCGTCAACACACATCCTCCACGCCACGCGCGCACCCGGAGACGCGCTCGCGCCAGTGTAACTTCAGCAGGGCCCGGGCGCGCGCGCGTCGGGGGGTGGGGCTGACGGGCGCGCGCGGGGCGGGCGGGGGGGTGGGGCTGACGGGCGCGCGCGGGGCGGGCGGGGGGTGGGGCTGACGGGCGCGCGCGGGGCGGGCGGGGGGTGGGGCTGACGGGCGCGCGCGCGGGGCCGGGGGCGGCGGCGGGTAGCCGGGCGGCGGCGGGCGGCCTCCCGGACGAGCACGGGCAACGGCTCGGCCACGGCTGCGGACTGCCGTCCCCGGGGCGCCCGGTCACGTGGGTTCGGGCGAACTCCCGTCAGGCCCCGCGCCGCGTGGGGCCGTTCCCCCGACTCGTGTGAAAAGTGAAATCTTCCTCTGTGTAGGTGTGAAGAGAAACGCCATGACAGTCCAGTGGGTAGCGGTTGCCAGCTTTCTCTATGCTGAAATAGGACTCATTTTAATCTTCTGTCTGCCCTTTATTCCTCCTCAGAGGTAGGAGCCCTCCGAATCCTCCGCAGTACCAAACGCGGGGGTGGGGGGGCGCGTGACCGCCCCTCGCAGGCTTAGAAAGTTTTGAGAGGGCCTGCGGGGTGGCTGCGTGGGCACAGGGCGCTTGCAGCCAAGTGAGAATGCCGGTTCTGTACCCGGAACCCACATGGTGGGAAGGGAACCGACCCTACGAAGTTGTCTTCTGACCTCCACACATCCACCCTGGGATGCACCAAAAGACAGCGTGCGGGAGGAAAGAAAGAAAAAAGGGAAGAGAGTTTGAGAGCCGGTTATAGGAAAAGTACTCTTCTAAAACGAAACTCAGATTGCTCTCTGGTTAAGTTATTAAATTGCTACTTTGTATAAAGCTTGATTATATGTACAAATGTAATCCCCCCCATCCTTTTTAAAAGGACGTAGTCTTTTTGGTCTTGATTACAGGTATAATAAAGCAGTGTTGTGCCTTGAACACCTGTCTTCCCTTGACTGCATGTTTTACCTTTTTATTGCTGCCCTGTATTGGAGCAGTGAAATAAAGGGGTGGCTGCAAAAATGTGAAATTGGGACAGTGGAATGGCAGCTTACAGACCAAAGCCTAGAAATGGTTCTTAGTTTTGGTCTTAGGGAGAAAAGAAACAGTTTCATTAATAGTAATTTTACTTTTTATTCCAGTCAAAATGAATGAATATGTGTTAAAACTGTTGAATATGGAAAGTATCAGAGACACTTATTAGCATTGCTTCCTTAGTAAAGAACTTTCTACCTTCTTTAAAGTACTGTGTCCAGTCTACTCATACACTGACTTTCCCTTGTTCCTAATTAGCTGTAGATCCAGGAACGTGCTATCTTGAATGAGTAAACATTGATGTTTTAAGCCAGATGGTGGTGGTGCACGCCTTTAGTCCCAGCACTCAGGAGGCAGAGGCAGATGGATCATCGGGAGTTCGAGGCCACCCTAGTCTATAGAGCTACACAGAGAAACCCTATCTCAAAAAGGGGGTGGGGGAAGGAAGGCTGATGTTTTAAGATATTTATTATACTCCTGACATAGAAGGAACTCAGTCTTCTCCCCTTCCACTTGAAGTTATTGTTCATAGTTTTCAAAATGTATTAATACGGTATCATATCCTAAAGTACTAAGTTGTGCTTGTGAGGTGTATTCACATGCTAATTACTGTCATGGTCTCCTTTTGATTCAGTGAATTACTAATTTAAAATATTTATATACAAAGCTTGATGCCTTCCCGGTTACAGGACCGATTACTTTGTCATACTTAAACACTTACAACTCATCATTTTCTTGCCTCTGTGGCTTTGCTTATGCTGCTCAATATGAGTCTTACTTCCTCATTTCATTTCCTCTGTTCAGACCTTGACCTGGGTAATGGATAAATTATATGGGTATTTACATTTGTAAAAACATATATATATAAATATATATATATATATGGGATTTTTGTTTTCATTTTACATATATGTTCTGTCAGTCATTTTTAAATTTCCTTCTGGGTTAAAGAAATTATTTTATTTAGAGTAGATGGCAAAAGCATACCATTTAAAAATAAACCTGCAGAAGCCAAATACAGTAGAAATTGCAGCACTTAGCAGGCTGAAGCAGGGGCTACATGTTGAGACCCTGTCTCAAATCAGTAGAGAATTAGATATTGCTAATGGTTAGATCAAAAGACATCATCATTTCTGAGACATTGCTCTACTAGGGAAAAAGAAATAGCTTCCAGTAAAAACATGACATTTTAGTTTAAGACGTTCTTTTTGGGCCGTTGATCTAGTTCGCTCGGCATACAAGCTTGAGCACCTGAGTCTAATCCCTAGATCCTGTGGGGAAAGCCAGGTATAGTTGTATAGGCTTATGATCCCAATGCTGGGGAGGAAAAGCAGGCAGATTCTGCAGTCAGGCCCCTCACCACTGAGTGCCAGGGAGAGACTGTCTAAAGCAAGGTGCAAAGGCTCTTGAGGAATATCTCAGATTAACCCTACTCTACAGGCATGCCTCGTGCACACAAACCCACGCCCACATTTCTTTTTGAGGTGTTGCTCATGTATGTTTAAAAGTTATTTTTACTTTAGAATATTTAAACCATCAGGAAAAAAATGATAATCAAATGTCATAGTATTTAATAATTTCTTTATATTTCATGAGCTATTCTGTCATGTCAGAGGAGTAAAAATTTTTAAAATTAAATTTCTATCATTTTTGCCACACTATCAAAATATTTCAGTATTTACAGAACATTTCAAAACCTGCTCTTGGTTGTGTGTTGTTTCTTTCTGTTATTTTTCATTGTTTACTTGTTTGTTTTTTACCTAATCTAATTTTATTGCTTTACAGATGGCGGAAGATTTTTTCATTTAGTGTCTGGGCTAAAATTGCAAGTTTTTGGAACAAAGCTTTCCTGACCATTATAATCCTACTAATCGTTCTATTTTTAGGTAAGTATTAGATTCCTTCTTTGAATCCAATTATTTTTAAATAAATTATTTAGATTTTGATTGTTTAAGTTGATGATAAGATATTGATATATTGAAAGACAAATCATTTTATATATTGATATAGTGATTTTGATACATATTTGGTACTATTTTATATACACAGATTTCAGGTGCAGTGCAGTGATGCTTAGCCTCTTTTAAGTTAGTCACTTTAAAGTTTAAATGTAATAAGTGGCCTTCTTTCTAGTTGCCAGATAATTACCAGGTACAGTCTTTGCTGTAGCTTTGTCCTGGGTACCTAGGGGCTTGGCCTGTATGCAACAAAAGAATGGAATCCTTAGGCTCTTAAAAGATTCTTGGGAAAGTGTGAATCTTCACTGCACCCTGATTAGAAGCAACAGCTTTGGGGGCTGCTGCAGATTTTTTTTAATACTAGATGGTTGTTAGGTAGTATTTGGATTTTGCTCTCATTGTGATGGCAGTGTTACAGAGCATCTTATAGTCTGTGGCTTAGAGTTCTGTTGTTGTTAAGTATGGTTTTACCGAAGCATCACCATTTTTGTTTCTGCATGTGGTCTATGCCTGTTTCCACAGACAACTCCATACTTTAGTATTGTAGCTGGTAAGCCCTAAAAACATCCATTGCCTATCCCTTTGTCTAAAGCATCTACTGTTTATCCCTTTGTTTAAAAAAAAAAAAGTTAACAGTTTTTACGTAGGAATATGTCTTTAATCTAAGAAGATTCATACTGACATTTTTAAGGGAAGTATCAGTGAGATTTTGGACTGAAAAATGTAGAGCAAATATGACAAAATTTTCACAGTTTGAATCCATATGGTAGAGTTGTAGATGTGTAGTGGACAGATTGAACATCCCTAACTGAAAATTCTAAATCTAAAAATTTGTATTCAAAGAATCAGAAACATTTTAACACAGTTGGAAAATTCCACTCCAACGCTGTGTGATAGATTATAGACCAAACCCAAGAACAGTAAAGGCATTTTAATTAAGTTCAGGCTTACATTCTATAAAGTATAAAATATAATTGGGTTTTATGTTTATATTAGGAAGAATCATTATTTGCCTTTTTTGCTTTTTTGTTTTTGTTTTGTTTTTTTTTTTTTTTTTTTTTTTTTTTATCAAAACACGGTTTCTCTGTAACTTTGGAGCTTGTGCAAGAACTTGCTCTGTAGACTAGGCTAGCCTCAAACTCACATAGATCTGCCTGCCTCTACCTTCTGAGTACTGGGATTAAAGGCATGTGCCACCACCTCCCGGCACCTCTTTTGCTTTTCATCTACATTGAAAAATGCATTTTCCTTAGGAACAACTCTGATGTTATGGATTAAGTGGGTCCACTAGCACCAACTTGGAACCTTTACCACTATGTTTGATGTTTTATGCAAAAAATGTTTTATGTTCCAAACAACAACCTTTGAAATAGAGTTGATCCTCCTTGAGAGCGTCTATTGTGAAAGGGTATAGAATTGTTAAAAACAAGAAAGGAAGCCAGGCATGCTGCTACACACCTTTAATCCAGGACTGAGGAAGCAGAACTTGAGGCTGGCACATAGATCTCTGAGTTCCAGGACAACCTGAGTTACATAGTGAGACCCTGTCTCAAAACAACAATAACAGCAAACCAAGAAGGTGATTGTATCAAGTTTTGAATGGATTTGTATCACATCCCTACAATATTGGGGCTAGTTACAGCAGACAGATAAGACTTATCCCAACATGTTGGTGTCTTCATCTCAAATGGGCTACCACCTTCTTCACTAAAGTGACGTAATAATGCAGAACCAGTAGATTACTCAAATATAATTTATATCTTACTTCGGAATTTGTTTCCTTTTTTTGTTGTCATGTAACTGTTACATAGTATTTACATTCCTCCAGCCAAGACTATTACAGTAATAAATAACAGACATCAAAGTAGCAAACCCAAGAACATATGTCTTTCAACAGAAGTACATTCCAGAAATTAGAAAAATTTAAAACTTGCTTTCCAAATGACTCTTCATACATATGATTTATAAGAAATTAGACTCTATCACATTATCACCTTATTGTTAGCCCTCTTCCATTTCAACATACTCTAAAATTAAAAACAAACCAGAAGAAATAAACTAAATATTATATTAGATAACATGTTGCAGAGAAAAGAATAATTTCAAGCATCAAATACATTTTATGAACACAAAGGATTGTAATGAAATCTGAAGCTTCATTCCCAAGCTATTTAAAAAATATTAATAGCAATTTAAAAATTACTTTGTGTATATTGCAACACACAGCAAATGAGCAAGTATGCTTAGTGGTATTAGGAATAAAGATTTTTCAGTAAAAGAAATCTCATGCAAATCTAATGTAATAAAATGAGCCTCTTTTTAAAAAATTTATTGTGGAATGCTTTGATGGGCTTTTTATTTTGGAATGATAGAAATGTGGCACTTTTTAGAGATAATGACTGTGAACTATTATGAAGTAAATGCAACATAGTCTGAATCCCATTTTAACCAGTCTATGCAAATAGATATTTCAATGAAATGAAATGGTTCCAGTCTCAATTAATTCAAGTAATAGTGAATATAATCGGATGCTGACACTTCAAAGGAAGTGGGATTATATGTTACTGACAGTGGGTTGAATTTTAGTCGTGCATTAAAGTAGAACGAGTAAGAGATAATATTTCACCTTAGCTCAAGATTTGACAGTGAGAATGACTTTGCGAACACATCCCCCATGGAGGGATGCTGCCTTGGCCTAGAGACAGGAGAGAGGTCCTGGTCCCTGCTTCGAATGACCTGACAGATCTACATGACCTCACCTGGATGGCATTGCCCTACATGTGGAGTTGGGGTGGGGGGAATAGGAGGGGAGGGTGGACAGGGTGCATGTGAGGGGCAGAGAGGATAAAAGGGAGGGAGGGAGAGGGAGCTGGGATTGACATGTAAAATAATAAATTAAATTTAAAAAAAAAAAGAGTTGACAGTGAGATGATGATAAGTAAGCCCTAGAGGAATGATTTTAAAATGCTACAGTAGTGATCCATAAATTGCCACTACTGTCCATCTTCAGGCACAGTACCCTCTCTGGTACTGAGGGACATACAGAAAGAAAGCCATATCTAAAGTCCATTATCATAAAGGTAAATGTTGGGCGGTGGTGGCGCATGCCCTTAATCCCAGCACTCGGGGAGGCAGAGACAGGCGAATCTCTGTGAGTTCAAGATCAGCCTGGTCTACAAGAGCTAGTTCCAGGAAAGGGTCCAAAGCTACACAAATAAACCTTGCCTCTAAATAAATAAATAAATAAATAAAACAAAATAAAAAATACAGGTAAATTATTCTACAACTACTTCTTGTTTAAAATATTGTTACTTAAAAACCAAAAGTAATGTTCTCTCTCCTGTAATAGATGCTGTGAGAGAAGTAAGGAAGTACTCATCCACTCAAGTCACTGAAAAGAATTCAGCCAGCAGGCCTGGTGCCTATGAGCACACACAGATGAAGCTCTTTAGGTCCCAACGAAATCTTTATATTTCAGGATTCTCACTATTTTTTTGGCTGTAAGTAAGAAGCGGTATAAGCACAGTTTTAACACTCATAGAATTCTCTTTCTGTTTTTTTTTTCTACTTACACCTTAGTTTATTGTTGTTGTTGTTGACATCTTCATAAAAGATTACAGATGATATACTCAAATATCTTCAGTGCATTGAAGAAGGCTGGAAACAGAAGGCATGGCCTTCCCCAGGGAAGAGCATACCAATTGGTTATCCAGTGCTAAACATTCAGCCCTGAAAACATACACACAGGTACTTATGTGGACTGAACAGGTTATATTTAGGAATATATATATATGCAATAACAATTAGTAAAAAGAAGAAAGAAATAAATCATGAATTTGAAGAAGAGTAAGTAGAGGAATATGGGATGGTTGGAGAGAGGAGAAGGGAAAAAAGTTACAACTTGTAGATCTGCTGGTTACAAAGGGCCTTGAATGATTTGCTGACTCTCTGGGACCTTCTCATACTGTTCTCCAATACATTCCATTCCCACTCTTCTTCACTATTCATTCTTTGTCCTTCCTTGAGTCATCATAAAAGCTATTCTCCTAGAATACTCGTCCCTCCCCTTATATCTTTTTGGTTTTTTTTTTTTGTTTTTTGTTTTTTTTTTTTTTTTTCTAGTGGTTAAAAAAAGAGTTTTTATCAGGGATAAAGAAACATATAAATACAGCAAGCACACAGAGATAAAGACTCTCTGAAAATTGGTGGGGGAGGGGGTTGGGAGGGCCTTGGGAAGCTGAAGCACTGGTTTCTTTTGGAGACAGGGTCTCATTATGTAGACATGAGTGGCCTGTACTTGCTATGTAAACCATGCTTGCCTTGAACTCACAAAAATCTACTTGCCTCTGCCTCTCAAGTGCTGGGATTAAAGGCAAACCTGACCATACCTGGCCTTCCTTCTCTTATCCTTTAGCCTCTTTTTCAAAGAAACTCTGTGGCCACAATCTTTTCCAAAGTAGATTGGTCTTCTGTTAAAGTTCTTAGGCTGTGTCTAGATCTCAACTTCTGATGCCTTTCACAATTATAATTAAATACTATTTGTAGAAGTCCAGCATAGTATTACACAACTTTAATCCCAGTATTCAGGTGGCAGAGGTAGGCAGATCTCTATGAGTTCTAGGCCAGCCTGGTCTACAAAGCAAGTTCCAGTAAAGCTAAAGCTGTTATATAGAAAAACCCAGTTTCAAAAAAAAAAAAATTATATAAAATATCTCCAACTAGAACTTAAACTTGAAGGCAAGAACTGAGTTCATTTTCAGCTATGGCCCCAGTGCCTAACATAGTAGTTCCTTAGTAAATAGATGATGAAGAAATAATTGAAGAGATTAATCATAATATCTAACAGTGAGGGCTACCTGCAGATATGACAGTGTTCACTTTTTAGACTTAGCCACCCTTACAAAATATCTTTGATCTGAAAACTTCAAACTAGACTGAAGGGGGGAGGTTCTTACTAATCTTACAATATCATCTAAAGTTCCATTTTTCTCCTTTAGGATAAAGGCCTGTAGAGGAAAACTAAATACCACTGTGTGCAGGAGGCCCTGAGGTGCCACCACATCTATGTGTTGTGATGCTTGTCATCTAGCAGAGGATACAAAGTAGTGGGGCACAGCTTGTTTTAACTGCCAGGCTTGGATAGTAATGTTCTGTTTAAACATCTTCACCACCATTTCTCTAGACATAGCAGGAGTCATTTGACAATGGCTATTTGTGTTAAAGTCAGAGTTCCTGATGACTAATGTAGTTATGCATTATTCTGAACTTCATTTTTTTCCTCAGAGTGTTGAGACGTCTGGTTACGCTTATTACTCAGCTGGCAAAGGAAATATCAAACAAAGGAGTGCTTAAAACTCAAGCAGAAAATACCAATAAGGCTGCCAAGAAATTCATGGAAGAGAATGAAAAACTTAAATGGGTATTTAATTTTCTTTATAAATTGTTTAACTGTTCTTGATGTTCACAAGGAGGAATGTATTATTTTTTAGCATCAAAAATAGCATTTTCATGATTTAGCAGAAGAAAGTGGCACAAGCCATAGCATTGTTCTATGAAATGATCACATTTGTGTATTTATTTATTTATTTACTGACTTACTTAGAATTTCTGAGAAACCATCTGTAGATGGAGGTAGGCCTTGAATTGGGAGATGTGCCTGCCTCTGTCCCGAATGCTAGGATTAAAGGCATGCACCACCACTACCCAGATGATCACTGTTTTTTAGGGTTGCTTGCTCCTTAAATACCCCTCAATACAAATTAATGCAAATGCTCTGGTTTCTAGGATTTCAGGAGGAAACATTCTTGCAGCACACTTTTTTTTTTTTATTTTTGGTAATTAAATATTTTCTGTAACAAATTCATATATGTATATAATACATTCTATTTACTCTCATCCCTTTCCCCTCTTATCCCCTTTCACCCATATAAACCACACACACACACACACACACACACACACACACACACACACACACACACCTCCTTTCCATGTTCATATCATTTTGTTTTGTGGCACAAAGTTTAACTAAGGCCTTCTGTGACCATGGGTTTAGAACTGTCCATTGTAGCTTGGTGAGCTCACCAGTGGATACACAGCTAATGACAATGACATCCCATCTTCCAGAATCTCTCAGTAGTCAGTAGTTCAGCAGGGATGGGTAGGGCACTATGACTGTTGACAAGGGCCCAATGAAAGTAACCACAGCCACTGTGAGTTTAAGATTACAATGACTGTGACATACCCAGAATATGGCCATTCTTGGAATACAGATTTGAAGTCCTCTAAACCATTAATTTTACTTCTTAACTTGAATTAAATATTTATAATTCTCCATGTATATTTCTCATTCACTTAAAGTATGATTTGTTGTATAGGAATTAGTAAGAGATTACTGAGACATTGATGATGTCTCATAATTTTTAAAGCCTTTTTGCAAATCTTATGCTGCTTATATCTTCTGATATCCAGGGAATAAGTATGTGTGCTAAGTACTGAAGTTAGCCCTATTCATAAAAAAATAAAAAAGCGAAACACAAAATTAATTTGAATTTTAAAATCTGATGATCTCATAGATTTGATGTTTTACTTCACACAAATTCCATGAGTTTTACTGAATCTAATTCTTAGAAAAAAAGAGTCACTGGAACTACTAATAAATGAAACACATCTTCGTGAGGAAAGTGGTTTTGTTGTTGTTGTTGTTGTTGTTTGTATTTGGGGGGTACCAAAATTCTTTATATGAAGAAAAGCTACAAATTAAAGAACTTAAGCAGATGTTTTGGTGTGACTTATACAAAAGGTAAGGGCAAGAATCATACATTAAGATCATTTCTCAAAGCCAGGGATGGTGTCCCACACCCTTAATTCCAAGCACTTAGAGGGCAAAGGTAGATGGATCTCTGAGTTCAAAGCCAGCCTGGTCTGCAGGGTGAGTTCCAGGACAGCCAGAGCTACATAGAGAAACTCTGTCTGGAAATCACCTCCCCCAACCTCCCAAAATAAAGAAGATTCGAATGTAGTCTTCACATTATACCAAGTTAATGTTGTGTTCAGCATTGGAGAGTGAACATCCTGAGCTTAGTCTTGACGCTCAGCCTTTGTAAGAAAAGACCTGCCTGCAAGCATTACCTTCCATCAGTAAGGCAGGCAGTTATCATGTGGCCAACAGGAAGGAGGTCTGAGACTTTATAAATTAGGCAAAACTCATTATCACCTACTCAAAACTTATGTTTTATTTTTATATTTGCCTCACTTATATGGTAACAAAAAGGTAGGAAAATATATTATAGAAGCATAATTTTAAAAGTGCCTCTATGAATAGGCTATTGTATGTCTTATGAAAACAGCATGTTAAAAACAGCTTACATTTTCTTTTGTTCTTCTTTTTAAAATTTTATTATCATGTATGCATGATGTATGAATGCATACCACAGTACATGTGCAGACATCAGAGGACAACTGTGGGGAATTGGTTCTCCCTTCTATCATCACATGACTTACAGGAGTTGGACTAAGGTCCCCAGGTTCACATAGACAAGTGCTTTTACCCACTGAACCATCTCACCAACCTTTGTTTGATTTTGAAAAGCATTGGCCCACTGATGTCTTCTATACTTCCTCTTACAGTAATATTGTTCTCTAGAAATCAAGATGTAGGTATGAATTGCATTAAAAAGCTAGTACTAAGTACTTTTTGCTTTTCTTCAGGGGAGATTTTTCAGCAGCACAATCAATTTTATTTTATACTTTAATGTTTGCTTGATTTTCTATCTTTTGATCTCATTTCACAATGATAAAATAAAAACCTTGTATATGTTGATTAAATTCAAAAGCCCCAGCTTTGTGTTTATGAGAAGGCTTTCATCTATCTCTATTGCTTTGAAATTGTGCATAACATCTTAGAGTAATGAATTATAGTTATTGTTAGGGCACACATATGCCTTTTTAGTTGTTTTCCTCTTAATCTTGAACTATAAGCAGACAGTATTTGTACATAGTTTTGAGAACACAACTTTCCCATATGCAGCAGAACCAATGGAGTTAATTTAGCTTATCCTTCTAAGCATCACTTCCTTGGGAGAATTTTGGAACTCTTCCTTTGGAATTATTTGCAAAGCCAGTCACTCAGGATGGGGAATTTATTACCTGCTTGCTTGTTCTTGGGCCTCCCATAATTTCATCTTTTTCTATTTTCTGGTTCCCTGCTTGCTATATAGCTCTGACCCAATCAGTAGTCCTAGATAATCAGATATGCTATACTAAAGCTAGTATACAGTGAGAAGGAAATTTTTGAACGGGATAAATCCTGTCAGTACTTAGAGTATAACTTATAGACTGATAGAGTGATTAAAAATAGGTGGTAATGTAAAAACAATGCTTTTATTTCATGTTATTTCCTGTGGGCTTTGAAATATTATGAAAGAATGATAAAATTGCTTTAAAAATACCTCTTTATTCTGTATATGTAGAATATTATGTAGCCAAAAACAAACACTCCTGAGCTTCATAGAGTTTAAATTGGTGCTAATTTCAGCACTACAGTAATTGACAGTGTGACCTGGGGCAACTCTCCTCATAGGTCCTAAATTTCAAGGTTCTGTGACTATAAATAATAGTTAGTGCTATGCCAAATGTTACTTCAGCTGTTCACAGTAAGATATTAACTTAATTCTTTAACAATCCTGTGAGGTTTGTATTGTGTGCATTTTATAGCTGAGAAAACAGGGAGAGAAAGGATAATAGTAAAAATAAATGATATCGTACAGGAAGTTTGAGGCCATGCAGCTGACTTTTAGTGACCACATTTACAAGTATCCCTTCAACTCCAGTAATGTTCCTTAAAACATGATGCCTATTTGATGCCCAAGGACTATTTCTCTTCTAATAATTCAGTTAAAGAAATGAAAGTTAACTTTTGTTTGTTTTTCAAGGCAGATTCTTTTAAGTAGCCAAAGCTGGTCTTGAAATCACAAGGTGGAGAGATGGTTCAGAGGTTAAGAGCACTTTTTGCCCTTCCACAGAACCCTGGATTCATTCCCAGCCCTACATTGGTAACAACTATCTGTAACTCTAGTTCCAGGGGATCTGATGCCCTCTATTGGCGTCCATGGGCACTAGGCACACATGGTACACAGACATACAATACATGCAAGCAAAACACACATACACATAAAAATAAATACAGCTTAAAAAGAAAGAAATCACAACCCTCCTGCCTCAGCTTGTCATCCAAATACTGGTAGTTTAAATGTGTGCTTCCATGCCATGCTGTCTATTAACTTAAACTGAACTGCTTTAGAATGAAAGCATGAAGCTTTACTTCTCACTGACCTTTCCTCCCACCTCTTCCTGGGGTGCATGACAGTGGGTGGGCCACTGCTCTTCCTGTAGCTGGGAGCTGTTGAGTTGTAGACTCCAGAGCTCTACAACTTTCTCCAACATGAAATTTGGGATAATAAATTGGAGCAGTTTTACAGGTGCAGTAATGAAAGCTTATTTATAAGACTGCCACAAATCCAGCTTTTCCAAGTCAGCGGCATAAATAATTCAAGCAGTCACTGTAAACATTCCTGCAGCTCAGTGGTTGCTTTCCAGTTTGGGTAATCACCCCCAGTAATCCTTTACAGTGAGCCTTAAGCTTTTAAATCTGCTCTGACTTTACAAATGTAGCTCTTCTTTTCTAGGCTAAAATTGTTTTGAACTTGAAGTAAGCAACAAATTAAGAGGCTTAGAAAATTCTCGTCCTGCTTTTTTAGAGGCAAGTTTTTTTTTATTCTAAAAGGTCTGATGCTCTCTCTGTTTCCGAGTATGCTCCAAGCCTCTGATCTCTTAAGAGCTATTTAAGGTAGTATTTCACTGGAGCTTTAATCTGACCTCTGAATCACAGAAAAAGTATAAACCATGGTTCTCTTGCAGTTTATCTCTTACTCTGTCTTTCATGCTACAATGTTTGCATCTACTTGTTGCTCACTAGAGTTTGTGAGTTTTGTCTGTTGAATGTATCCCTCTGGTGTAGAAATTCTTAAATCACCATGAAAGCCATCAGAATTAAGTTTCTGCCACTATGTTTATTCTACTAGCCCATGCCTGTGAACAGACAAATTTACTTTCTATTTATTTTGTTGTGTGTGTGTTGAGGAGAGGGGTACTAGTCCATGTGCATGTATGTGCACATGAGCATAGAGACCAGAGGTCGACCTCAGGTACTGTTGTTCACTTTGTTTTTTAAGACAAGATTTCTGATTAGCCTGAAAGCTGCTGGAGTAGGCTAGGCTGACTGGCCAAGAAGCCTTAGGATTCCTCCCTTCTCTGTCTTCCCATCATAAGTATAGTAGTCAGCAGGCTTCACTATGCCTGGTTATTTATGTGGGTTCTGGGATCAAACTCAGTGTGATAACCCCTTTATTGACTGAGCTATATCAACTTTATTTTCAAAATAATTTTAAAATATAATGTATCTGTCTTTACAATTTAAGTATCTTATATTTCTTTCTTTTTTAATTATGAAAATGTTGGCCAGTTACTAGTGTTTCTTATTGACTAGCTCTGTTTTAAATATTAACCCATTTCTATCAATCTAAGTGTTTCCACATGATCTTATCTTAACGGAGAAAGAATCTTACTTCTCTCAGGGCCTACATCTTGTCTCCTCTCTACTACATCTCCCAAAATCCTCCTTGTCTCCTAATCCCACCTATATTTCCTATTGGCCAACAGGGCTTTTATTCATTAACCAATAAAAGAAACATATTTACAGAATGTCATCTCCCATCATCTCCTCTTTTTTGTCTAAAGTAAAAAGAAGGGTTTTAACTTTAACACAGTAAAATATATAACAAAACAGTTATCAAATAAGAACTATAGTTAACAATATTTAGTCATTAACATTAGGAAGATTTAAAGAAAATATTCCATCATCTATCCTATCTTTATGAGTCTAAGGTCTTATATGTAACTTATCTTTAATCCTAATTCAGGAAAATTATAACCATAACTATCTGTCTTCAAGTCCATCAAAGACCACAGAAGGAAAGTATATAAACTCTAGTAATGACAGAGACACCTGGCTACCTGGTCAGTCACCTGGAGTTCTTCTGTAATGTTCCATTTTCAGCCTATAGGCAGACACCTCAGCAAAGCAGGAAACTTTGAACTATCCACCTGTATTGGCAGTTTGTCAGTCACTTTTCTCTGTGTCCTGCAGACTGTCTGGCAGACTCTTCCATGTAACAAACCCTGTAGTACTGTCCATCTTGTTTCAGCAGTCAGTTTCCTGTGGGTCCTGCATGTATAGTTTATAAAGCATATAAACAGTCCTGGCAAGAGCAGTTTCTCGTTCAAATGGTTAGTTTTGCCATATTGGAAACAAACTCCATAATGAGTTTCTTTGATGTCCATCTTCCTTTGTGACGAAGATGGTGTCAGGACCGGGTATGTCTCGCTGTCAAGAAAAACCTTAAATAATTTTAAATGTTGTAGATCTTTGGAAGGTTTGAAGAATATTTATCCATCTCAAATATATCTCTAGAAATCCTAACATAAGTTTTGACTATTATAGGTAACTATAATCTGTACTAAATTATATATTACATTTGAAAATGAATTGTATAAACACAATGCCTAAACAAGAGGAGAAATATACATATCACAAAATTGACCTTAAATTGTATCAATAAATGAAAAATCCATTCCAAAACAAAGTATTCATTTCTATACCATAATCTCCTTTTTACCTTTAAAAAGAGATTGATTGTATAACCAACCCCATTTAAATGAAAGCAAACATTTATAGACAATTTTTGGGAATTTGGGCATCCTTCTTTCCAAACTGCTTCCTGCTGGTTGAAGGCACTATAATACCATGGGAATCCTAAGAAGACACAGAATTCCTGGCTGTAGTTTGCAAGGCTGCCTTGTCCCAGCTGTTTTGAATTTTGAATCACCTGGGACACTGCTTCAGGGGGTCTTGCTTGATTGAACCATGTTAGTCTGGAAGAAATCCACAGCTTTTCATTTTCTGTGAAAACAAAACTAGGAATTCTTTTTCCCAAGTAACTTGTCCTTAGACTTAAATTTTAAGTCAAAGCATTTTTAAAATATGTAAATTGAATTAATTTAGCAGCATTGATAATCAAATGTATTTTAGTAGTTGTTCCTTAGCAATTTAACAACTTAAAGACAACACAATAGTATACAGTACTAGACTCTGTGTATTTCCCATCTTTAAGTGGCTGTTTTATTATTCTATTTCTTTTACTTCTATGTTTTCATTTATTGAGACAGGATTTCTCTATGTAACTTTGGCTGCCCTGGAATTTACTCTGACACCAGGCTGGCCTTGAAATCACAAAGATCGGCTTGCCTCTGCCTCCCGAGTGCTGGAATTAAAGGCTTGTGCCACCTCACCCAGCTACTCGCTTTCTTCTTCTTCTTCTTCTTCTTCTTCTTCTTCTTCTTCTTCTTCTTCTTCTTCTTCTTCTTCTTCTTCTTCTTCTTCTTCTTTTTCTTCTTCTTCTCCTCCTCCTCCTCCTCCACTTTATCCTGTTTCCTTTTCTCTCCCAAGCCTATGTATATTTTTAGAAGAAAAAAAAAAGTAAACTTTTGGAGGTTTTTCTTTATCTGAATCTGTCTTTCTGTAAATCTTTATTTATTTATTTATTTTTTCTGGCCACAAGTCTTTTATCTGCTAAACAACAACATTGCTAAAATGAAAGCCACAGCTGTTTTAGCTGCCGTCTATCCAAGATGGTGGGAGTATGTTTACTGCCAGCACTGAGAGCTGTGCTCACCGCCTTGATCTTTGCTGCCATCAAGCAGGAAGCTGCTGGCTTGAAGATATGGTCACTGCCATTGCCAGCTCTCGTGCACACCATTTAGTGTTAGAGCCCTGCGGTTTTTTGCAGCTTATGCCAAGTCAGGAAACCTCCCTTAAAGGAGCTGCATGAGTCTCTGCTTGTCTCTGTCTTTTATTTCTAAAATCCCTTTTTAAGCATTTATCAAGTTTTAAGTGGAAGTTCTTAGTTCCCACATTGCAGGCACCATTTTATTACAAGCAGTTTCCCACCAGCTTGGTCCCAGAGTCACGTCAGTCCCAAAATAACACACAGAGACATTATATTAATTATGAAACTATTGGCCAATTACCAGAGCTTCTTATTGGCTAGCTCTATCTTAAATATTAACCCATTTCTATTAAACTAAGTGTTTCCACGTGGTCTTATCTTACTGGAGAAAGAGTCTGGACATCTTACTTCTCTCAGGGCCTACATCTTAACTGATCTCTCTTATATTTTAATCTGCTTCTAGTTTTTAGTAACTGTGATGATTTTTATGTAAGCATGCAAGTTAGGAAATTTTTATTCTACAATGTTTACCACTTATTTTACTGTTCAGATCTTTATTGTTTTACCTAGAAAAGACAAGCTACAAACATTGTTGGATCCAGAGTTGATTTTGAAATGTAAAGAACAATTTAAATGATCAACTAAAATAAAAATTATTTTGGCAATGCTTAATGAAAACCAGAACTTTCCTACCGTAAAGATCACCCTTCCATTTTTCATATTCCTGTCTTCATCCTGGCAACATTATACTCTTACATACATTTATGTGTAAAAATAGTCTTGAGTAGACAAGATAGTACAATTATAGCATGATGATTTGTACAACTAATATCAAACCCAGAACTGATTTTTTTTACATTAAATGTATAACACATCCTTAACTGATGAATTAATTTTGAAAGCATAATTATAATTATAGCCCAATCAGAAATTCTTACTTTCACTTCAGAATACCATCCATCATAATGACAAATCATTTTAAAGAATATTTTTAAGTTGTATGTTCATGTGTGTCTCTGTGTGTGGTTGTATGCATGTGAGTATAGTTGCCCACAGGAGTCAGAGGAATTTGATTTCCATGGAGCTAGATTTAAAGGGGGTTATTGTTCCATAATTTTTCTTTTAGGGACACCAACCAGCTTCCAAATCATAACATGGAGACTTACTAGTTTTGAATGCTCAACCTAGCTTAAGCTGGTTTCTAGCTAATTCTTTTAACTTAAATTAACCTGTTCCTCTTTATCTACCTTTTGCCTCAGGACTTTTTCCTTTTCTTCTTTATATCTCACTTTCACTGTTTATTGTTGCCTGGCTGGGCCCACATTCTCTCCTCCTTCTCTCATTTCTCTTCTCTCTTGGGCCTAGATTTTTCCTCCCTTTTATTCTCACTACTTCTCCAGCCCCACCTATCCTTTCTCCTGCCTAGCTGTTGGCTATTCATCTCTTTATTAGACCAGTCAGGTACCTTAGGCAGGCAAGGTGAAACACATCTTTCATAATTAATTACACATGTATACATCATTAAATAAAGGCAGCATAAACAAATGTAGCACCCTTACATAGTTAAAGTAATATTTGCAGCATAAACAAATGTAATACATCTTTGCCTACTTAAAATAATATTCCACAACAGGTTGTGAGCTGCCTGACATGGTTACTAGAAACTACACTCAGATCCTCTGGAAAAATACTGTGACCTCTTGGCTGAACTCTACAGCTACAGAAAAGTCCATTTGTGTGTTTGCTTACTACCAGGTTTCTATTAGCAGTAGCACTTTATAAGAAAAAATTATTAAATACTTAAAAAGACAAACTAATAAAGACCAATAATTTTAATTTATTCAAGAAATGTCCAACTGTTGCAACCTAAGCTTATTTCTTCCTATAACTCTTCTATGATAGGTACTAAAAAACCATAGCAAGGATGAAGAAAACATTTTGGAAACAGAAAATAAAAAACTGGTAGAAGACCAGGAAAAACTGAAAACTGAATTGAAGAAGGCTTCAGATGGTAATTTTGTGTGCATGTGAAAAGGGAAAGGACTAGCAGATATTTTATGCTGTCATATAAGCCTCACTGTTTTACCTTAAACAAAACTAATGGCTAAATGCCCTCTGGCCAAGCACTGATAATGACCTCTTTATAAATTTCTGTTCAAATATGAGGTTAAAACATTGTGCCAAGAGAAACATATTCTGTTATGCAGAAAAACATGTAGGTGTTTCAGATCTGTGTTGTAAATACAGATGTCCTTACCTCAGCAAAAGAGCTATGAGCTTGAAAACTTTCTTGTAAACCTATTATTGTAAAATGAGTCACATTTTTTTGTCATCACGTATTTCTTTTATAGAAGTAATCACAAGGAGACAGCCTTGGCAGAATAATGCATATCTTAAGCCCTAATATTTCCAACACACTAAATTTAAATTAAAAAAAAATTTTTTTTGAAAAAGACAGTCTTTTTCAGATATCAGCTGAGAAATTGAGGATTTGTGCCAAAGTGCATTACGTTGTAGATTCCAAGTGGGGCATCCTAAATCTCAGTCCGTGAAGGCAACTGCTTCTTCACTTAAAAAATCCTGACTGTTCTTAGTGTGTGCTTGCTGCATAATTTAGTAAAGTATATATGCCAAATCCATTCTCATTCTAAAAAAATCTTTGAGTATGTGCAGTTTTATCCATGGCAAGGTATCTGTATATGGAGAGATAATGCTTGATGTTGATCAGACACAAGGAAACCTATTCGGGATTCATCATTAAGATTGTTAGGTTAAGATGATGATGAATGCATAGGTCTTCCACAATTTCAGATCTCTTTAAGTTGAAGGTAGAAAGGATTCAGTGACTAAATCAAAGACCTGCTAGTAATCATTATGAGTTTAGGTTTAAGTTGCTCTTGAATTTTAAATTGAAATTCCAAAGGTAAAAGCTAATTCTATAAACAAAAACCCAGATTAGGACATTTCATGTGATGAAAAATTCTTTAGTCACTTTACCATTTTTATTTTTTATGTGTATGGGTGTTTTGCCTTCATGTATGTCTGTGCACTACATGTTTACCTGATGCCCTCACAGGCCAGAAGAGAGGGCGTCAGATCCTCTGGAAATGCAGTTACAGACAGTTGTGAGCTGCCATGTGGGTGCTGTGAACTGAACCCAGGTCCTCTAGAAAAGCAGTCAATGCTCTTAGCTCCTGACACATTATCAGTCTCTACAATTTCTTATTTAAATTTAAATGGTAAAATAAAAACAGCAAACAAAGGTAGTGTAGAATTAGTGGATTAAAAATTCAAAGTACTCTTTTAAACAAGCTTGTTTGGTATAGCCACAAACTCAAACATCTCATTATAGTTTATATTGTTGTATTTACTATAATTCCAAAACAATTAGACATACTCAAGAAATTTTAACAGTCTCTTTCTTATTCTCTGCAATGGTGATTTTATTTATTTATTTATTTATTTATTTATTTATTTATTTATTTTTATTGATTAGAGGCAGGGTTTCTCTGCAGCTTTGGAGCCTGCCCTAAAACTTGATCTATAGACCAGGCTGACCTTGAACTCAAAAAGATCTTACCTGCCTCTGCCTCTCAAGTGCTGGGATCAAAGGTGTGTGCCACCACTGCCCAGCTTACTTTTTTTTTTTTTTTTAATTTGTAAAATGTTGGTGTTAATCCTTTTAGAGAATGTAAGGATTTCAAAAGTACATTGAATTAGTAAAAATAGTTACAAAATCTTTTTTTTATATCTGATAAGGGATCTGTTTTATGTTTGTGTATGTAATATCAAACAAATGTAAAGAAAAGAAAGCAGAGGGTGTAGCTCAGTTCATATAGTGTTTGCCTAATATGCACAACACTCTGTATTCACTACTTGACATTTCCTAAACCACTCATGGTGGTTTACTCAGAACACTGATATACAAGTGATCAGAAGTTCAAGGTCATTTTAACCCACAAAATGGATTTCAGGCCAGCCTTGGCAGCATAAAACTGTCTCACACAATTTTTTTCAATGGTGATTGTCTAGCAAGGAGGAGGACCAGAAGCTGGGCGTAATGGTGAACACCTTAAATCCCACTTGTGAGGCAGAGACAGACAGATCTCTATGAGTTTGAGGCCAGCCTGGTCTACAGAGAGAGTTCCAGGATAGACAGAGCAACATAGTGAAATTCTGTCTTGAAAACAAACAAGGATGAAACCTGAGTTCAATCCCTAGCAGCCATGTAAAAGCCAGTATGGTGACAATCAACTGTAGTCGCAGTTCTAGGAAAATAAAGACAGGAGGATCTCTGGGGCTTGCTGACCAGTGTAATTAGTGAACGCCAGGTTCAGTGAAGAGAAAATACCCAGTGTTCCTCTTGGCTTCCATGTGTACACACCTACTCATGCACATACAGATTAAGTAAGTAAATGTAAAAAAAAAAAAAAAAAGAAAAAGAAACAAGATGTGGCAAGATGGCTCAGCAGTAGAAGTATTTGCTGCCACCACTGAGTGCCAGAGATAGATCCCCAAGCTCACACTAAAAGGAGAGAACCAGTTACATCAGGTTCTCCTGTGACCTCCACATCTATGCTTCCCTGTGTGCAATTTCTCTCCCCCATCTCTATCTCTCTCTCCTTCCTCCCCCATATTAAATAGAAATAAATAAATGTAGTATTTTGCAAATACATGGTATTCTTACTTCTATATAGTCAATTTAGTTTCCTCCTCTTTGCCTTTCAAAATTTACAATTTTGAGATATTTTGAACTTTAATTTCTTAATCCTGACATAAAGCCAAACTCAACATTACTTCAGTATTTATTTGACAGAAAACTTGGGTTTTTGGAGAAAATGAAGTCTAACAATATAAACAATGTGTTTATAATCTGATAAGATATGCCAGTCCTGCCTGTGTTTGAAATGTAGCCTGACTACTTTCAAAGGGAGTCATGGTTAAAGTCAAAGCAGACTTTACCTGTTTGAGTGTGACCTGTTTGGTTCCTTCAAGAGGTACAGTATTTTATGAACACATTCCTTTTACCTGGAGTCCCTTTTTTAGGTAGCATTCTTAATGACCTTGAGAAACTCAAAAGTTCTGTTTCTAGAGATGTTTCCTTTGCTGTTTTCTTGATTTGTACCAGACATTCATGCAAGTAAGACTAAGAAATTGTATGTTGATAGAATAAGTTTTGTATGATTTTAAAAACACTTGACACACAGATTTATCAAATGCTCCTTTTTTTCTAGAAACTGAGGATAGTAAGATGGCATTGCTTAAGAACTTTTCAGAATGATCTTTTAGATTTGAAACCCAAATGAAATCATTTTTTTTATTTTATAGTATGTTTTCCAAAGGAATTTTCTTAACCATTGTGCTTCTGTGATCCACCTTAAGGATTTTCTCCAAATTTTATTAGTGAAAAAATAATAATAAATATAAAGGTTTACTTAAACTAATATTAGCATCTCTCCAGGGGCTGGAGAGATGGCTCAGCAATTATCAGAGGACCAGAGTTTGATTCCCAGCACCTACATGGTGGCTCACAGTTGTAATTCCAGTTCCTAGGGATCCAATGCCATTTTCTAATATGTGCATGATTCCACATGCACATAGCATATTTACATACACTGAGGCACACACATAAAATATTTTTTTAAAAGAACACTTTAAGAGTAGCAGTAAATATTCCACCAGTTTTTAATCCCTGGCTCAGATTTTGACCAGTTAGTAAGCTACGTCTATGTTTCTGTACAGTAATATACTAGAGATCAGAAGAGAACATATATAACCCAGAGTACCTAATTTATATTCAAGACTACCTAGTCACATACAAGGGTCTAGTCTGTCACTTTAATAATCCATTTAACAATAAGTCAAGCCTGATATCCCAGTGTGTTGAGTAATTGGAGGAAAGGCATTGCCATGCAAAATAAGATACAAAGCATTAAGGACTTTATAAAGCTCACAAGCTTTCATATTAGAAATAGAGCTATGTTGTAGAAACCTGCTATTCAAAAGATTGACTTAAAGACTTTTCCAGGATAATTAGTAATACATGTGCCTAAAACTAAATCCTCCTAAAACTAAATGCTTTATAGTTAGAGGAAACATGTACCACCCTAATATTGAATGCATCTAGACAATGGTAAAAATAAATAGGACTTAACTAGCAATGGAGTTGCTTGTCACAATACCTGTTTCTCATCCCTTTAAGAACAGGATAACATCTGTAACATGATATATTTAGAAAGAAATTGTTAGGATGCCAACCTTGGAACAAAGGTTATGTAGAAGTTGTGTGTATCCTTAAAAAGGGACCTGAAAGAAAGTGTGAATGCCTATAATCCAAGCATTACTGGGATAGAAATAGGAGGATCAGAAATTCAAAGTTATCCTTGGCTACAAGGAGAGTCCAGTCAGCTACTGGAGACTGTCTCAGAAACAAACAAGGATTGAGTAGCATTCCTTACTCTGATCTTCTCTCCCCTATTCTTTTCCTTCTTTTTTCTTCAATTATCAAATTTTAAATACTTTTTCAAAACATGCTTTGCAAATCATTTAACATAAAGCACAACTACACTTTTCTTAAAAATATACCTGCTGCTGGGCAGTAGGGGAACATGCATTTAATCCCAGCACTTGGGAGGCAGAGACAGGAGGATCTCTGTGAATTAGAGTTCAGCCTGGTCTTTGTAGATGTTCCAGAACATATTCATACATGTATGCACACATGCACACACATGTCAAGTATGGTGGCAATCGCCTGAAATCCCAGCACTTTAGTGGCCAGGGGCAAAAGAATTGGGAGTTTGAGGCAGCCCATGCTACATAGCAAGATCCTGTTTCAAAAAGAAAAAAGTATACCTGTTAAGGGAAAAGCAAGTGTTTAATGGATTTTCTAAATAAAGCATGCATATATAAATAGAACAGAGAACTATTTACCTAAGTACTGTCCGTATGTAATAGAAACTTTAGTTTGGTGCCAGGGAACCGTACATTCTTGTACCGTCTTTAAAACACTACTGATTCAACCAACTTCTGAAGGCATTGGTGTAAAGATTCACTAAACCTAAGATAAATGATAAATGGGTGTTTATTGGGGAACACTTACACAGAAAAATACAAAGAGCCGCACGAGCATTTCTCTGCTATTCCAACTGGATTGGCTCCAAGGGGGACCATGCCTTATGCCTCACACCTTACAATTCACACCTCCCTCTTTCTGCTTCCATCCACCTGAAGCCACGCCCAAAGGGGTGTGGCCACCATTATAGGCAAGACAGCTACAAACTTCTTGGGTGAATGTTTCTCTATTACCTTGCCATACCTTGAAAATAATAATAATAATAATAATAATAATAATAATAAAGTTTCCTTTCAGACACTACCTTTACAACCTTGAAGTTAATTTTTTTTTTAATTTCCCTTTTCACTAGTAATAAGTATACTAACATAGGAACCAGAGACTAAAACTGGTAAGTGCTTTTCAATAGAAATTTAAAATCAAAACAGAATGCAGTTATAGAACATTTCTCCTGTGTATAGCCAAACCTTTGTATTCCTTTTTATATAAACTCAAGTTATAGATCTTCTAGTTTCTACAAATAAACAATATATCTTTCTAAAATTAAAGCTTCAAAGTCTAATATATGAATACTTTTAGTAGTAAAATTATTATAAATCATGAATTTGACTATCATTTCTTTTCATGATAATTTTTGGGGGACAGGACCTCATGTAGCTAGAGCTGGCCTATAATTTCTTATTCTCCTGCCTCAGCCCTCCCAAGTCCTAGGGTTGCAGATATGAGCTACTATTACTTTGCCTTACAAACTTAGTTGTCTTTCACCTACATTTGTACCAAAGCTGCCATCTTGTTTTTAAATTGCCAGTGCTTAAAACAGTTTGTTGGTACTGGATTTGCTCTTTCTTTTCTCAATCACCTTTCAATGAGATTTTATTATTTGAATAAGGAAGAACATGCCTTTGCCCCAAAAATGTGTATGTCTGGAAATTTTTGCTTCTTTGACAAACCCTTTTATGAGCTGGAAGAAGTTCATATCAAGAACAGTATAGTTGTAGAGCACTTGCCTATTTCGTGTGAGGATCTGTGTTAACATGTATATTAATATGATATTTCTGTTTGCATTTTATGCTCCCATTCAATTGTATTTTCCTTTTCTGTGAGCTCTTTGCCTGTTGTTTCCATTGTCTATAACTATTCTAAGTGTCTCAAGATGACTAGAAGAAGTAACTATGGGGAAGAATATGTTATATATAATTGATATTACTAGCAAATAATAATATCTATACAAAGGAAGACCTTTTGTAATCATTACAGAGCATTAAGAAAGAAAAAACACACTATTTAACGAAGAGCTTATAGTCCAAATGGATGCAGCAAATATATGTACATAAAACAATAGTTTGAGTTCTCCTGAATAATCCATGAGTTAGCCTACTGCCCCCGCCACCCCTGGAAAAAAAGCTTGAGTAAAGACAGCTAAATGCATACTAAATAAAGATATGTTCTAAGGAGTAAGAACATAATCAATGAACACAATTCTCTAAATGTGCTGATAAACTGTCAGGAAAATGGATGAAATGTCATTATTGTTTTGAGTGGAGCAAAGTATATATATGACTGGCAAGTTTGTTCCTTGATATGTTACCCTAGAAAACAGTGACTGATAACAATAAAATGTTGAGTTCCCCCTAAAAAACAAAGAATGATTTAATATCTTGGGATTCTTTTTGTTGTATTTCCTACCTAGGTATATATGTTTACTAAAGACCTTCATGGTAAATGTTTTTATAATGAATATATCACCTTATAAAAGACTTACTTTTATTGCAAAGGGAGTTACAGAAATTAAGCTGGATAGCCCATCTGAAAACACTTTTTAAAAAAATACACCAAACCATTAATACATAATAACTTTGATAGGAACAATGAACTTTTAGTTTAAATTATTCTTTATAGTAATTTTATTTATACAATGAGAAGTTAAAGCTTTGTGGGTAGCTTTTGATGTTGTTTTCTTTTTGTATGATTATTTGTTTTTATTCTTTTTTGAAGACCCTGGTAAGATAGCCATTCTTTGCTTGAAATATCTGACCAATTGACTCCATCCTTAACTTCAACTAGAAAGATTTTTACTATTATAAGTTGTTTAACCTTGGAAATGTGTGAGGAAGCACAGGGTAATCTTGTTAAATCTTTTTAGGCAACAATTTTCTGTCCCATAAAATTAGGTAATCAGATTAATCTGTAGTGTCTGCTATGTGGCTTCAAATACGAATAGTTTTGTCATGAGAGAGCTTCACAGTGACTTCCTTTTCTCTACAACTTAAATTCAGCAGGTGGTTAATTAAATAATATTTGTGACTTCAGAACGATGTTTCATGCAATCACTAGGGCAGGACCTGGCATGTTTGATCCATCTCTTAACTCTTAAATTTTGAACTCTCTTGGGTGGAGCATCGGGAGGAAGAAGAGGATATGTGCCAGTAAACAAAATGACCTGATTACTTTATGGTTGCTTACACAGAACATCTGCCGAACCCACTGATCTGGAATGATAAAAGTTCATGAGAGGAGAATTGATTTAAAATAATAATCAGCATGTTCTTTATTATTCCATTAGGAAAATAAAAATGAGACTAGATTTATTCAACGATTTCCAGCTTTTAAGAGTGTTTGCTTTTACAAATAAAACATAAAAACCTGTATCTGAACATACTGCCTAGCATATCTGCATATTTCTGGTACTATATAAAAGTATATTCACCTAGCACACATGTTTCTAACCTTTCTGTAATGTTTTAATTTTTCCAAGTTTTGCATATACGTAAATTTAAATGGTAATTAGTAGACGGTTACTAAAAAAAAAAACAAAAACAAAAACAAAACATCAGAAGCAAGTCTGTTCCATTCATTGGTCCCATTCTGGTGATACTTGCCTCATTTCATGTTCTTAATGATTAGGTGGTTATTTTTGATCTTTCAGTGTAAAATAGCTCTTTTGGCTTGGCTTTCTTATGAAAAACAAGACCAGGAAACAAGCATGTTTTTGTCTTTTGAAATGGGGTCTCACTGTGTTGCTCTGGCTGTCCTAGAACTTACTCTGTAGGCTAGGCTGGCCTTGAACTCCCAGAGATCTGCCTGCCTCTGCCTCTGCCTCTGCCTCCCAAGTGCTGGGATTAAAGGCATACACCACCAACACTTAGCTCCATGTTTTCTATTTTTGTTACTCCTTTTTGGTGGATTATATCATCCAAAAGCCCTCTGTAGAAAAAAAAAATTTAACTTGAATGAAATTTTGCTTTAGTCTCTCACCTCTGGTTATAAACTGTTTAACCTTAGAATACTGAAGGTGGTGTTCCTCTGATAGCCATTGTTGATTATAACTAGATTTACTCCACGGCCGGAATATTTGGTATACATCCTGTTTTATTATTGTTAATGCTCAATTTTAGTTGTTTTGTTTTGTTCTGTGATCCTGGCAATCAAGTAGGCTCTTGCTCTTACCACTTGGCTATATCCTCAAAGCTTGTTTTGTTTTACCTTAAGGAGACTTGTGAAATCTTTTCAATGTCTACAAAAATACAGAATTCCATCTTGAGAGATGTAGAGGAGGCAGAATCAAGACTTGGGATATGAGGGAGAGTAAAGGCTTAAGAAGACTCTGGGTCTCTTGTTTATTGACCAAGATTGCTTTTAACCAAGATAAAGATCAGAGGATTAGTGGAACCCTTTCATTTGCCCCTTTTTCCATCTTGTTTTGTACTCTTTGTTATTAACAAGGGATTATTGTCAAGGGTAAAGCTTATTTGAAAATTTGTATTTAAATTTTATTAAGTGGTCTCATAAAATTATTTTCTTGGAAAAGATTGTCCCAGTTGCCCAGTACAATCGATCAGTACCATCTTCTTATGCTTGGTAGAGTGCCCTATAACTTCTTAACAAAGTACTCAGCAGTTTCTATCTAGAAAAAAAAATTTGAGATTTGGAACACTGGAAATGGCTACCTCTTGGATGGCTGCATAGTTTAAAAAAAAAAAAGTAACATGTGGTCTTGGTAGAGCTTCCTATTTGAACTCCTCCTGGTCCACATTCAGGGAGTTCCCTTGGTGCTATGGAGGGTTCTGAGATATGTGCATTGAGAAAGCCAGGCAAACTCAAAGAAAAAGCAAGGAAATGGATATTAAGCCAAAATAATGGTATAATGTCAGGTCAGGTGTGGTGGTTTGAATGAGGACGGCGCCCATAGGTTCGTATGTTTGATTACTTGGTCCCCAGTTGGTGGACT